TTAAAATTAGATTACGTAAGGTTTAATATTTCAAATTAAAATTTAAAATTTAGCTACCTATATCATATTCGTCATCTTACCCTTTATGACTAATTGTGAAGGGTAAGATGATATATATATATATATATATATATATATATATATATATATATATATATATATAAATATATATATATATATATATATATTATATATATATATATATATATTTAACTTCTTATGGCTGCTAACATGGTCCATCAACCCCTCTCTTTTATACGAGCTTGGGACCGGCTGTCGGCATGAACGCGGCTTCTGAGCTACTCAATCCACCCATTCCTCTCGCTTATAACCACCAGGCAGAGTTTGAATAACTGATTGTCGAAAATAGAGGAATGACATTTTTGGCGCAGAATATTTATTATATATGAATTAAAAAACATCATTTCTTTAATATGTATACTAACTTTTTTATACCAACGAATGGTTTTCCTGTATAATGGATAGAAAAACAGCATTTGATCTTTAAGATATTTAGAAAGATAAAAGTTTCACTTGTTACAAAAATGTTCATTCGATTTAATGAAATATCATTCGTAAAAATAAATCGCAAAAATATATAAAAAATTTAATATCATCTAAAAAGTGATTATGGATTATCCAATTTGAAGGTAAAATCTTAAATATTGATATGTGGACAAAAAACCATAGTTAAAATTTTGGCTCGGGCGTTTTTAACAGTCAAAATTATGCCGAACGCGCTAGTTAAATTAGAGCAACATTCACCACTTATTGTCGGTCGGAAAATTGCGTATTACTGGTTGCATAAGTAAACAATTTTATTTGTTTGGGAGCTTCAGATAATATTCACCAAAAAGAACATATATATTTTTTACAAACAAACACAATAATTTCGTACTTTAAAATGTTCATATTTTGGAATTTTATTTTACTGAATGCCTTTTATTAGAATTTCTAAACTGCGTCATCTTTATATATAAATATACATCACAGTCACTATACCACAGACCACTACAGAATTTTTTAATAATTTTGAATATTACACGATAGATGGCACATTATAGTTGCATAATTACTACTAATTAATTATTAATTAATGCATTAAAAATGTAAATTTGTATAATTCCAAAGGAAATATAGAAATCAGTTGAGATATTAACTGAACTGATATAAAAATAGCTTTACATATACACGCATAATATCAAAAAATATATTCTAAGAGTTAGACCATGTATATTGGTATGGAGAGGCGTAAGCAATAATTCTTGATCCATAAATCAATTGTTGATTTTGATCCAATTAAATTTCTGTAAATTGTTAGCGGGATAAAGCGATCAGACCTCCAATATTTATTTGACAATGTTCTCATTAGATTAAGTTTCTTATTATATTACATGTCAATACTAAAATTGCCTAATGTGTTCCACAGATGTGTTCTTTCCAAATAAGCTGTTTATCAAACCACATAATATGTGGTTTATACAACTACTACACCCTAAAATGGACGAGGGTTGTACAACAGACGAAACAACCGAACACAAATTATCTAACAGCCAATGCTAAACAAGCGTAAACACTGCATTGATTGTGATTGTAAAAACGGTTCGCATGTTTTAAATAAGATTTTTGCTGATTATGTATTTTGTTAAATTATGAAATAACACCAATACAACCCACGACCATCAATTAATGTTTAACGATAAACAGAAAAGAAATATGAACGTTTGAATTTGATCTACGTTGTCGATGACAGTGTCGTTGACAGAAGATATTTTTAAACAGCATGAATCATTTTTTAATGATTGTGTGGATTTAAGAAACACATTACTAAACAAATTTTTAAAGTGTGTGACATTATTATGACACATGGTATTTACTCCTTATTTTCCAAATATGTTCTTGTAAATACATAACTTTGATTATTGGGTAAACCTACATTATACGATAAGTCAGAAGAAATTAAAAAAAAATTAACATGTAATAAATTCGCTGTTTAAATAAATATTCCGTACTCGTACTATTGTAATAAAATATTAAAACCAATATACGATAACTTGTTGGGCAGTGCTGATTGAAACAAAAGAGCAGTAAAATGTTATTCATAAAGGTAATGTAAAATATATCGCCGCTTATCTGGTCCACTAGTAATAAAGTTACCAGCATTTAATTGCAAAGCGGTCTTCTTAGGTGAAAAATAATATAACTGCTCCTTACCTTTATCTATGTTAGGATTGTTCAAATTATTTGTGATTTTTTTTTAAAGGGATTGAGTTAAGAATATTCGGTTGAGTTTACCGAAAGTACAAGCTAAACATAGCCGCAAATGTCAAACATGGAACAAAAAATTTTGGTATATCAGTGTTGGCATGTTTTTATAATGTAGATGCTGTATGCTTCAAATATAAAGAGATACAGCTTTAGAAAAGTACATTTTGTTTATATTATGTTGTAAATTCTGCAATTTTTGATTTGTATAAAACAAGAATGAGTATTTGTTTCTTTGGAGATTAATTGCAGTTAATTATTAGAAATTTTTTTAGCTATTACCCTTTGATATATTATGGGATAGATTTGGCAATCGTCAAATCAGCAGTTGCCTGATTGCAACATATGTTTGCAATTAATCTCGAAAGAGACAAATATTTACTCGTTATTGCTTTATATAAATTAAAAATTGCAGAGTTTATAAAATAGTAGAATCAAAATGTACTTTTTAAAAGCTTTCTCTCTTTATATTTGAAGCATACAACATACGCATTATAAAAACATCCCAACACTGCCAAACCCAAATATTTTTGACATTTGCGGCTATGTTCAGCTTGAATTTTCGGTAAACTCAACCGAATATTCGGTATGTTGTGTCGAAGTCTAAGATGAATGGGTCAGGTAAAGAGATATATATCATCATCATCAACTAGCCTCCAACGTCCACTGCTGAACATAGGCCTCAGCTTTTCCATTTAGTCCGATTTTGCGCCATCTGAATCCAATTTGTAGTCACTCTTTTTATGTCATCTGTCCATCTCGTTGGGGGTGACCTCTATTTCTGTTAGCTTGTATTCGGGGTCTTCATTCCTAAATTTTTTTTGTCCACCGGTCATCAACTGATCTTGCTACATGACCTGCCCAGTTCCACTTTAGTGTTGTTATCCTTTCAATAACGTCTGCTACTCCTGATCTTTTGCGTATGGTAGCATTGGCTATTCTATCACGTAGAGAAATCCCTAACATTATTCTCTTCATTGCCCTTTCCGCAACTTGTAGTTTATTCACTGTTGTTCTTGTGAGTGTTAGAGTTTCTGCGTCGTAGGTCATCACTGGCAAAATACACTGACTAAATACTTTTCTTCTTAGACACATTGGAATCTTAGTATTTATAGGAGTCTATAGTTTATAGGAATCTATAGGAATATTTGTCATAAATTGTGTTTTTGAAAAATTTATTTTAAGACCAACTCTTTTTGTGGCAGTATGGAGTTCTTGGAGCATTATCTGTGCCTGATCCACGCTGTCTGCAATAAGAACGATATCATCTGCAATCAAAGAGGTATTATGATTGACAAAATATGATTGTATTCGGAAAGAGTGAATCTGACTTTTAAAAAGTGACGGGAGAGACTATATCAAGTCCAATTGTGTGTAGATAATCAACTCACAGACTGTGTGGTATTGTGGAACGTACATTTGAGAAAAAAATGCATTGTGCTGGTGCTTCTAACCTGTACAAAATTGTTCTGGATTTTTATGTGGCTATTGTTTTCCATGAATTCTTCCACAATTTGGTTTTTCGCAAGCTACATGTAAATCCGATTAATTGATAGTCGTGAGGAAAATATAATATTTTTGGGATGAATCAGGTTACCCAAAGGTATTAGGTAATCTTCGCGTATTTTCTAAAGCGCTGAAGATAATCGCTTGATGTTTTGAGAGAAATTGTATACAAGTTGCTGATGAATAAGTTTTATTAGTATTTGTCTGTAATTGTGATAAAAGTGGTGTGTTATACCCATCGAGCAAAAAGACAAAAGAGGGAATCTAATCGTTATGAAAAGGAGACCAAAAAAGTGGCCTCTGATGGCGGACATATCCGGAAATGTGAATGTGCCAAATTTAAATTTTTTGACACTTATTAACAGTAGCTATAAAATAGTTTTCAAAATGTATCTTAGACGAGAAAGTTTTAATTAATTATTAACGATAATAGTCTAAAATGTGACACAATTGTTAAAAAACTACAATATAAATACGATTTCATGTGACAGTTGGGACCAACAATAACATAACCCAACTAAATTTGATTTCTTAAACAAGGAAAGACTCTCTTTCCTTGTTTAATGTGCCTCTCAAGATGGCACTTCCTGTCTAACAATATTTTTGCCCCCACTACCTTTACATTCCCTCTTTTGTCTTTTTGCTCGATCACGACTATTTGTGAATGTGGTAATGAATAAATGTACCCTAGGTTGTATCTTATTGACGGTTGTTAAGTTACAAATCAACCGTAAACTGGTTTATCACGTTATAGTTATCAAAACTAATAGGATGTGTTCACTTGCTGGTATTTTATATAATTGTCATTTAACTATTTATTTAAAAAAAGTCAATAATTACTGCACAATATGTGCAAATTTGTTGAGAATAAGGTAAACACGTCTTTCGGTGACTCATTCAGGGCCGAACTCAATAAAACATGTTGTGGATTAAAAAAATAGATTTATTTTACTTATAATACTTTGAACACATATATAAATTCACCTATCTACTATTTTTAATCATAATTTAATTAAAAATACGTTTATTTTGAACGTTTCAAGTTCTAGTACGGAAATAGTTCACAAAATATAAATTAAAAAATTCTAATTTGTATTTTGTCAAAATGAACATATTTTTAATTAAAATTGTGGTTATTTACCATTAAAATAGTAAATAAAAATGTCACAAGGAAATAGCAAATATAATTTATATATCTATAACATAGTTAACAAATATATTCATAAACATTAGTCTGTTTCTGAGCTTTCGCACCTATCATCTTCGCTTTCATTCGAACTGTTGTCCGAACTGTCGTCCGAACTGTCGTCCGAACTACTCGTCTCTGATACAGCTTTTTTTTTCCCTTCCTCATCGATGTTCACCTTCCCCTTAGTATCCTGTTTGGTAACGTACCTAAAATATATTAATATTATTGTTCCTATATAAAATCGAAAGTATTGTATACGATTGAACTTGTATTGAAGTGGACATTTCAATAAACGTATTTCAATATATAGAGTGTTATATTAAAAAAAAAAAAACAAAGTGACTAATGATACCAGAAAAATGATAAATCTGGCAACGTTACAAACATCAAATCTTCATATTGCAAATATACATACATATATACAGGGTTACGCAATTGGACTGTTACCAACTTCACATCGATATATCTGGCAAATCGATAATGACAGCTACGTCAAATTTGGCCCGATAAAACACTTCAGTATATTGTTTATAAGCCGTCAAAGCATTTTCATTTAAGTTTTATACATACAACAAAAGTTATTCGCAATGTAATTTAAACGTAATAGTGTGATTGCGTTATATTTGGCTGGAAAATCACAACCAGCTATTGTTCGTCAGCTCAAACATCTCAAAGTAAATAAAATGTTTATGTATCGCACCATAACTCGTTATAATGGATACTGGTAGCATTGCCAAACGCTATGTTGGTGAACGAAAAAAACAGCAACATCACCTGAAATGGTTCGGAAGGTGATGGCTCGACTTGAGCGAACTCCATGTCGTAGTGGTAATCGAATGGCCAAAGAACTGAAAATATCCCAGCGAAGCATGTAACGAATATTGAAATTTGAGCTCAAGGTCAAGCCTTACAAGTTCCAAAAAGTACAGAATCTTACACCAAAGCAAAAAAAGTTAGGCTTGAAAGAGCAGAGGAGTTGTTACGCCTGCACGAACGTGACGAATTTCCGAACATAGTGGTCTCTGATGAGAAAAATTTCCCTATGGAGCAGTTGATAACTCAAAATGATCGTGTTTACTTGACCGAACGCACCTACGAAAGTTCGAGCTTATGAACGGCCATTCGAAGTAATTTCCCATCTCAAGTAATGGTATGGGCAGCTGCAATCGCCGATGGACGCTCTCCAATCGTTTTTATTGAATCTGGTGTCAAAGTCAATGCAACTTATTATCGGGAAAATGTTTTAGAAGCTGCTTTAGAGCCGTGGGCACGCAAACATTTCGGTTGTAGACTATGGACGTTTATCGGGAATATACAATTTTATTGGGAATAATAATTCAATAACCATTACATTGGGCATTTATTTATTGGATTCATTGGAAATATTAATAATTTTATTGGACTTCTATTGGACTTTTTAATCACACCGTACGACCACATGTAACTGCAGCTCTCCAGAACTAGAACCTACAACATTCCATTGGAAGACCTAGCAGCTATAACACACAAGTAGCCGATCGAACAAAGCAATAAGTATCACTTATCAATTGTTAAGCTTTGGCAGGGTTAATTATTGTATTTTTTTTTATTCTAAATAAATATTTTTACAATAGTACTTCAATTCCTTTTGGTAGTCTTATCGTTACACATTGGCATTGACGTAGACCGAGACTTGTTCCAACAAGACTCGGCACCGTCTCATAAAGCTAGTGTGAACCAAAAATGATTAAAAAACCAGGTTCCACACTTCACTTCCACTCAAGAGAGAGAGAAAGAGACAAATAGAAGATATATTTCCTCTCTCTTTCTCTCTGAATAATAAAAATGTTCCTTTTGTAAATATATTTAATATTTCTTAATATTATTATTATAATAATTATATATCATAATAATAATAATAATTATATAATAAGATTATATATTATAATAATAATAATAATTATATAGTCAGGGAAAGTCTTGTGGGGTCAGTTTTAACTTTCAAACCCGTTAATGAAAGACTTTGTTATATCAGAATCAAAGGACAACTACATAACTATTCCCTAGTTGCTGCCCATGCACCGACAGAGGAAAAGAAGAGCATGTAAAAGATAACTTCTACGAGAAACTAGAGGAACTGATAAAAAATTTATCTAAACAGGACATGCATATTATCTTAGGAGATTTCAATGCAAAGATTGGGAAGGAAGCAGCGTACAAACCAACAATAGGTAACCATAGTCTTCACGATGTTAGCAACGATAATGGAACAAGGCTAATAGACTTTGCAGCATCCCACAATCTACTAATAAAATCGACAATGTTTGAACACAAGAATATACACAAACAAACATGGGTTTCCAACGACGGCGTCACAAGAAATCAGATTGATCATGTTCTAGTAGATGCCAGGAGGGGTAGTAACTGTCTAGACGTAAGAAGCCTAAGAGGAGCTGATGGAGACACGGATCATTTTTCTTGTAAAAGCGAAGATAAGGACAAGAATAGCGTCCAAAAAAACACACAAGAATACACCAACACAATTATGGAATACCGAAGTTCTACGTAATAAGGAGACAGAACAGAAATTTCAAAAGGCTATAAAAATCGCTCTAGCACAGACAGAAAACTATAACAACATAGACTCAGCTTGGAAAAATATCAAAGTAGCTCTGACAAGCGTATCAGATGAAATACTAGGACACAAAAAGAAAACAACAAAAAAATGGTTCGATGATGATTGCCTGAACTCCATATTAGCAAGAAATATGGCTAGAAGGAACATGCTACAAAGCCCCTCGCACAACAACAATGAAATGTATAGACAAAGAAGAACAGAGACAAGAAAACTAATGAAAAGGAAGAAGAGAGAGTATCAGGAACAAATAATCAGAGAAATAGAAGAAAAAGAAAGAACAAACAAGCGAGGCAGTTCTTTAAAGGAGTTTCAGATATCAAGACCGGGTACCAAGCAAGAACAGGAAACTTTCTTCAAAACGACAGTGGACAGCTTATCACTGATGACAAGGAAATCTTAAAAACCTGGAAGGAATACTTCTATCAACTATTGAATGACCAATCTAGCAGAAGTACATCAAACATAGAGGTACATACAGCTGAAATAGAGGACCAATACCCGACATACGAAGAAGTAATACAGGCAATTAAAAAACTCAAAAATAATAAGACACCAGGTAGCGATGGTATACCCGCAGAGTGCTTAAAACATGGAGGAGAAGCATTGTACAGTTCGATATACAAGCTAATTCAAGACATTTGGCAAGAAGAAAACAATGCCAGATGAATGGAAAGAAGGGGTTATTGTACCAATACACAAAAAAGGAAACAAAAAGCAATGTATTAACTACAGGGGAATAACACTCCTAAACACCACCTACAAAATCCTTGCAAACATCCTGCTAGAAAGAACCAAAACATACACAGAAGAAATTGTTGGAGATTATCAATGCGGATTTAGACCGGGCCGCTCTACAATTGACCAGATATTCACAATAAAACAGATAATGGAAAAATGCTGGGAGTTTGATCGTGAGCTTCATCAGATGTTCATTGATTTTAAACAAGCATTTGATAGAGTATGTAGGGACAGACTGTGGACAGCGATGCAGGAACTTGGCTTTCCAAAAAAAACTACTCCGGTTGATACGGATGTGTATGGAACGGTTACGATGTAAGGTGAGAGTTGGACAACAATACTCGGAGACATTTGAAATAAAACAATGGACTAAAACAGGGAGATGCACTTTCACCATAACTCTTCAACTTAGCTCTGGAGCACATAATCAGAAGTGCAAGAATCGAAAAACCGAATACAGTATTTCATCGAGAAGGACCAAACTTACTACTGGCATTTGCAGACGATATAGATCTAATAGGAAACACGCGATTAAGGATGAAGGAGACTTTCGTAAGGTTTGAGAAGGAAGCAGAGAAGATGGGGCTCCAAATCAACGAAAACAAGACGAAATATATGTATATGAGCCGCAATAACCAAAGCAGAGACAGAATCGGTCAGAACATTACCATCGATGACTTTAACTTTGAGCGCGTTAGGGAATTCAAGTATCTTGGAACAACAATAACTGAAGACAATAACGGATCACAAGAAATAAACAACAGGATTCAGGCCGGCAACAGATGTATTTTTGCCCTCCAAAACCTTATAAAATCAAAACAACTAACACGACGTACGAAGATACAGGTCTATAAAACAATCATACGACCCGTTGTGATGTATGGAAGCGAAACGTGGACGATGACAAAGGCAAATGAAGAGAGACTACGTGTTTGGGAAAGAAAAATCCTAAGGAAGATCTTTGGTCCGGTGCTTGATGAAACATCAGGACAATATAGGATAAGAACTAATAAAGAGCTTGAAGAACTTTACCCAGACGCCAACATCATAAAAGAAATAAAGTCCAGAAGACTTCAATGGGCAGGACACCTCAGAAGACATTCTGACGAACGAACAGTAAGACTGGTGTGGCAGGAAGTCCCAACTGGAAGGAGACCACGCGGACGCCCTCGTCTCCGGTGGCGAGATAATATAGCAGGAGACCTAAGCACTATGGGCGTGGAGAATTGGATGGAGGTTGCTCAAGACAGAAAACAGTGGAGGCATGTTGTCGAGTCGGCTAAAACCCACGAAGGGTTGTAACGCCACGGAGTAAGTAATATTATTATTATATTTTCATTCTGTTCAGATTTGTCGTGAGCCTCGTTTGGGAAGTTAAATTATAAAATAAAACTTTCTTAAGAAAGTTCAAATGTTTACTTAGATACACAACAATTAAATTTTGTATCTGTCAATGTCAGATAATTGTATTTTTATATTAATAACAAAATAAACAATGAATTTTACTGCAGAGTGTCTGTAAACATTTTTTTTGCATTAACTCATTTCATACATATATGTAAAAAAAATTTTTTTTATCAAAATATTGATTCAATCCTTCATTTACTATACTCCTATTACAGATCAAATGTTGTTTATATACAGCAAACGATACACCATATACCTAATTATGTTTCTCTTTCTGCTCTCTCTTTCCTACGGCATTAAATATGTAATGATTGTGCAAAATTTGAAACGGCGAACGCGTGTATAGAAGTATAACTTCTACCTAGAGTCTCACTGGACTGCCACACCCGTTTTATTTATTGTAATTGACGATGAACTATATGAAAAAAAAAAGGTGTATATAACTTACTCTTGGACCAATTTTTCAATTTTGTTCTGTGCTTCTAGATAATTATTCTTCAGGATTGAATTCAAAACCATATTTGCGCTGGCAGGATCCTCAGTATCTTGTAAGTATATGTAATGACTTTCATAAAGCTCTTTACGTCTTCGCTTTTGAAGCAACTCGCCCAACTTCTGAAAACAGTTTTTGCCTAAAAAATAAGAGAAAAACAATGCTGACAATGAAAAACAATGTTGCATAATAATTTATATCTTCCAAGTAACTTTCAACATGGCGGACAGAGTAAATGTGCCGTCACTTCTCTCTCAAATATATGAGGGAATACTTAAATATAAAACATTTAAATGATGTAATACTAAGCCAAATAAAACGATAGTATGTGTGGTGTGCTGAAAAAGTTATCTAATTTCCTGTGCCATTAAAAGCAAAATGTTCTAGAATATGTGACACGCATATAGTGTGTTGGGAAAAAGAATATAATGTTACTGAACCCATGAATCTATTGTAGTTAGAAGATAAGATTCTAAGGCACTACTGAAGTAAAAAGAAGATAAGCATAAATTACTGTTAAATCTAATAACTATTTACTACAAGAAAAAGTCGATTTATTGAAGACAGAGTTTAAAAACTACCACACCAAAGATAAAAATGAAATACCAATTAAACTTAATAAACCACAACATAATACTCCGAAAATATAATTGGTGATTATCAAAATGGATTCAGACTAAATAGAGCCACTACAAATAACATATTCATACTAAGAACGATACAAGAAAAAGCTTATGAATACGACATAGACCTATATAATATGTATATAGACTTTAAACAAGCTTTTGATAGTGTGAAAAGAGACAGAATGCTGGAAGACCTTTGAAATCTAGGTATACCTAAGAAATACATCAGCCTCATAAAAATTACGTTGCAGGGTTCAAAAGCCACGGTCAGAGTAGATGGAGAACTGACTCCCCTGTTTAACATCAACATGGGAGTAAGACAGGGAGATGCCCTATCAATCATGCTATTCAACCTAGTTCTTGAGGCAGTCATCAGAAAAACCAATATAAGCGGCCATATAAACACCAAATTAGTACAAATTACTGCATATGCAGACGATGTAGCCATCATTAGTAGGAATAGGCCACGACTAATGGAAGTGTTAAAAAATTGATCCTGAAGCAAGAAAAAGAGGTCTCAAAATAAACGAAGTATATGACAATCAAAAGAATAACTGACAATGAAAATAATATCACAATAGACAACTATACTATCGAACGAGTGGATGCCTTTACATATCTCGGCACAGAAATCAATCAGAAGAACTCCGTAAGTAGCGAAATTAATGCACGTATTTCCAGCGGGAATCGTACATACTATGCTAATAAAAGATTGATGACATCGAAATTATTAGACAAAAGAACCAAAACGACTATACAGAACACTGATTATACCCGTAGTAACCTATGGATGTGAAACTTGGGTAATGACGAAAAAAGATGAAGCCCAGCTCAGGACATTCGAGAGAATAATACTGAGGAAAGTATATGGCCCGGTACAAGAGGAAGATGGCACATGGATAATCAGGAGAAACGACGAGGTTAATGAGTTAAATGAAGGTTATGACATTGTAAGATTTGTGAAAAGTCAAAGACTGTCATGGCTGGGACATGTGCAGAGACAAAACGATGCAAAAACAACAAAGAAATGTTACAATGGAAGCCCATAGGAAGGCGGAAAAAAGGAAGGCCCAGAACGAGATGGTTGGATGACGTGGAAAACGACCTGAAAACAATGAACATAAGACAATGGAGAAGAAGGGCACAAGAGAGATCTGAATGGAAGGACATAGTCAGACAGGCAAAGACCCATCCAGGGTTATGATGCCAAAAGAAGAAGAAGAAGAAGAACCACAACATAAAGACATTGAAAATAAATATAAACAACCAATTCAATCAGATGTTGACAATTTTGTATACAAAACAAATAACTTGTCAACAACACACTCAACCTAGAGGTGGAAAGCGAATATCAAAATAATAAAATGGATGAAATAATTAATCTCGCTTTGCCTATGGGACAGGACTCTAAATTTCCCGATGCCCAAAAATATGTGCAGGATTTGAGTGATTTTACAACAGTGCATTATAAAAAAAAAGAAACACAGTTATGAAGAAGAATATTGGACAAAATGAGGAGTCTGGTGATTTTGGTGCCGAGCGTAAAGTTTGGTTATATCTTTATAGAATTAAACGGCATGTATCATCTGGAAATATCCAAGAGTTCGTAAAAAATCAAGAACAATTCTCCGACGCGAATGTTATTGTAAAGGAACTACTGACTGTGCAAAACCGTAATAAGTGTTTTATGTTTGGGATTAGCGAAAAATACAAAGATCAAATCTACAAACAATCTACGTGGCCCAAAAGATCGGTTTTAAACGTTTCGACTTCAAAAAATTCCACAATTACGAACGTAACAATAAGGATTTTTGAAGGGATTCCCAGATAAGAAAGGAATTAGTATCTCCCAACCAAGATCAAATACCGACGTGTTACCGACGTATTTTGAAAATATCATGGATGGATCGCAAAACAAACGAACAAGTTCTCGAACAACTAGGAAAACAATGCGAACTTTTAAATTCCATAAAAATCAGGAAATTTTAATACTTGGGGCACATCATGAGAGGTGAAAAATACGAACTACTAAGGAATATAATGCAGGGTAAAATCAAAGGTAGAAGAAGCGTAAAATCTTGTGGCTATGCAATATCCGTGAATGGTTTGGATGCAGTTCAATTGAACTATTCAGGTGCGTAACCAACAAAATTATAATTGCCAGAATGATTTCCAATCTCCGATAGAAGTGGAACTTAAAGAAGATTACATGCTCACATAACATATTAATATGCTCTCTAAAAAGGTTGGCAGTTTAATCTGATGTAACTTTTTTTTCTGTGCTTTCCCTGAACACTTTGACGAATTGTGTTCGTTTCTGTAGAATTTTTTTAAACGGTGTATATAGGTTTTTGACTTATACCTAGTGTTCCGCAGTAAAATTGTTTACAAACTTGTATTTTGTTATTACATAATTAAAATAAAGAAGAATTTAAAGGTTTTAGTTTTTTTTTTTTTAGTTTTGGGCTTTTTCCTTTTCTTCTTCGTTGTGGAATACTTATTTCAGTTGTGCTTAATATAAACATCCTTGTTTCACTGCTACTAAACTTTTAATAAAGTTGTTAAAGTTATATGTTTAACGTAGGACTATGTTGCGCTCTTTTCATAATTTCATAACATACACCAATGACTTTTGATTAATATTAGAGGATGGCATGCATATATTTTAGATTTACAAAGTTCTATGGGTGCGTTATGATACATAGAACCTTGTTATCGTAAAATTGCTATTTTTTAATTTTGTTACATAGCCTTGTAATACTCAGGCAGCGATGTGCAAATCCTACCCTGTCGAATAATTTCCTATGAAATTAAAATGGTGCATGTTTTTAGGATCCATTTTTAGGATCCACGAGGTTTTGAAACATTTCTACTTATGTCTGTTTTTAAACCAGGAGGAGTAATTCAAATTTTCCGCGCTATAATGCTTGTTTGTAATTGGTCGAAGCGCAGGCAAGTTTACTCCACTAAATTATGACATATTGACACTAATGACATTTGTGAAATTTTAGAATTCAAAATTTATATCGACAATTTTCTGTATTTTCTGTTATTTCTTACATCTTTAGATTTTTCGTTTGCATTTATATAAAAAACAGTTCTTTTCAGAACTATTTAGCGACATATTAGTGTTATTAAGATAACAATATGGATTCATTGCCAAGTACTAATGGTAATTATTCTTCTCCACCTTAAAAACGCCGAGTAGATTTGGATCATTTATCATCAAATGAGAAATAATGTACTATAAACATGTACAAACATGAAAATTGATAATTCTGGAATAAAAATAACAGCCACGGTAGTAAAAATAAAACAGGCAGCAGGTTAGTTTTACAGAATAGTTATTATTAAAATCAAGACTTATTAAAGTAATGTGCTAATTTTAGGTGTTGCGAATTCAACTATTTACAACAATAGAATTTAGAACAATTAAAGAATATAAGCAGACTGGAGCAGTAAAATGTCCTAAAAATATTGAAGGTCGACCTTATATTCTTGCAACATAGGATGAAAGAGTTAAAACATCTATACGACAGATAGTACACAGCTTCTTTTTCAAGAATGAAATGCTCACTGTAGGTAAAATTTTAAGTGAAATTAACAACCGCTCAGATCTTCCAAAATATGTGTCGTTCGTTATTATGTAAATTCTTTAAGCAAATCAATTTGAAGTAAGTACAAATATCGGTATGTAAATATGGGTTAGCTACAATTATATAGTAAAATTAACTAAAACATTTTATAGATTTTATTTTTATAATCAGGTATATTATTGTTACTATTAAATATTAAGTTTTAAGTTTTTATTTGTACACTCTACTGGAATGTTGTCAAGTGTTTTGGTTCAACAGATATAAGAACATGGAAAAAAAGAATATTTTTACTTTACATATTCAGATTCAATACAGCAAATATTACATAGCATAACTATAGATTGTTTATCTTACTGTTTATAGGATGATTGATTTATTGTCTATATTATGAATGTCTTACCATAGTTATTTTTTAGGGGAAATTATTTAAAGAATAGCTTATACATTGGGCTGCTGACCAAAAACAAAACTTTCTTGCTCAAATATCTGAAATAGATTCAGTTTTTGCTGAAAAAATAAATCAAGAAATTCAAAATGGTGTAGTTGTTTATTAATCTCACCAAGACATAAATGGAGAGATTTTGGAAGACTAATAAAATTATTAAATTTTTATTTTTACATTCATTCCGAATATATATTATGGACAGAAAATTATATAAATCAATTTCTGACTCTAAGTTGTTTTTGTAATAACCTGGACTTGGTGATATGCGATAATAGTATTTAATGTGACATTTTTCTAGCTGATATATATTATATATATATATTTATATATATATATATATATATATATATATATATAATAAATAGAGTTTACAGTGTTTATAAATTTATAAATGTATGATCTTTATATCTAATTATCATAAGAAAAACGGCAACTATCTTTTAAATTTGTGTAGACTTGTTAAGAAGCATTTTCATTTTGTTTTCATCACAATAAAAGAACATTAGTAATGTTGTGTTTTACTTTGATTGTATTGATACAGTTGGTTTTGTTCTTCCTGTTGTAGATCATCACAAGAAAACTACAAAATTATACTAGAATGTAACATAATAGATTGAATTTGTTGATTATCTCACAGAAATCCAGTATTTTTAGTAAATTTTATTTATTGATAACAAATGGGACAAACTCACTGTCAAAATTAAACAAGAATCCAGCATTAAAGAAATTGCAAGTACACACTTATTTATACAAATTTATTGTTTTGCATTTTAGTGCTTTAAATAGATCCATTAGATATTGATACATAAGTTAAATCTATCTAATGAGGAAACGGATTACCATGCATGAAAAGTAGGACCACACCTATATTTGAACCATAATTTATTCTGTTATGAAACATGAAAAAGTTCTAAAGCAGTGAATGGGAAGGAATATGTAAAACAAACTGGCTGAAGCAATTCAGGAGATTGGATTATTAAGCTTAAAAATAATGATCAAAGTCAAAGTTAATTCTTCTGGTAAGAAAAAAAAACCTAGATTCAAGAAATTAATCACACCAGAATAAGAATATGGTCTAGGCAGTTTAAAGGAACAATATTTCAGAAATCTTTGCACTCTCTCTAACTTTTTGATACATGCATTTGCATAGCTTTGTTGCATATAAGATCTATTTGCAAATTAAAAGACAAATTTCTGAGAAAAACCATACTTAGATCTGTAACATTATTGACTCTCTGGACAAAATATTCTCTAAATTAAGTACCATCGACTCAAAAGATCTATAAAACTGGATCACCCGATATTTAAATATATATACATGGGACCAAATGTGAAAAACGTCCTTTTTTATTGTAATAATTGTAATATATATTGGAAGTGAATTAAAAAATATATTATTCAAACATAAAGTTAGGTTAGAATTGACGTGTAAGGTTGTCCGATATTGATTACTCGATTACCGCAAGGCCGAGATATACAACAAAAAAAGATGTATTTGGTGACTTTTCTAGTAACTTTCTTGGGTGTGAATCTGTCTTTTTGGTTTACTCCTCCTGGTTAAAAAACAGAGTATAGTTACTCGTACAAGAAATCCAAAATAAATATAAATATAACCTAACTTTTGTAAAGAATGTATACAATTATTTGAAACTGATCAAAACAATGAAATGAGGAGTCCAAAGATGGTGTTCTTAGCTAATTATGTACATAGAGATACGAGTAGTAATGTTAGTTGGAAAACCACTTAGGAATACTTACTTTCAGTTTTTATTTGAGATTCATTCAGATTAAGTCTACTTTCTTTGACAACTTTGGTAATCAGCTTCTCGATATCATAATAACTAGGGAATTTTTTGTTGTTTTTGTACGTTTTAATAATGGCTCTGTTGATTTCGTTATATTCAGAATTCAGAAACATCAATTTTTGGTAAGTCAAGCGAGTACCATACGGGTTCTTCTTTAAAAGCTCGCAATACTTTTTATAAACTTTGTCCAGTCTTGCCATATATCTAAAAATAAACATTAATGCTTCAGGTTTCAATCGTTTTTGTACTGTTTAATGAAAAAGTTGATCACGATGTAATTTTTTTTTGTTGTTGCTAATGATAATAAGACTTTAAAAAAACCTATATAAAAAATCTAAAATACCTCTCCAGTTGTAGATAAGATGAATCTTCCTCTAGATCGAAGTCAATTTCGGTTTCTTCCAATCTTTTAATGATCACTACAAGTCTTTTAATAGTTTTTTCTAATTTCTTTAGTTTAATCAAGTCTTCCCTCGAATCGACTTCGATAGTTCCAAACTTTACAGCTTCCTTTAAATGCTGAAAAACCTCATTGAAACATAACACTGACTGTGTCGAAGATTTTTTGGCCTTCGCTATATTTTCAGTCAATCTTTGTTGAAAATCTGTTGAGGTTCCTAAATGCTCTATACATTTATTATAAAGAGTCCGAAACTTGGGAAATTTTTCCAGGATAGTGACATACTTAGTGTTCTTTAAATTCCTATCTACAATAGCTAAAAACCTTTTAATTAAAAATGTATTTGAGGGTTTTCCAGCAGAAGTTGAGGAGCAAGGTTGATTATCTGAAATTTATTTAAAAAATTTGTTTATTTATTTTCGTAACAAATATCAAAGTTTATTTTAACAATTTACATACAAGGCGTGATCTTGCTTGGCATTATGTTTATTTTTGGTATCTTATCTATTTTATGTTTGCTAACGTTTTTTTTTTGTTTTTTGATACTAGTTTGCACCAAAGAAAACAATAAAAATTTGTGCTATTCTATACTTTTTCAACTTGGTCCATAACAAATTTCGTAAACTTACACTATATGATTACCATATATTTTTAATTATTTTAAATGAAATATTTATTAACTCTTTGTTCATCGGGTGTGGTCTGCGAGTCTACGAGAAAATAAAAATTTTGGATAATTCTCTCATTTTATTTTTATTTATAAAGATAGATAAATTTCTACCTTTTCAGTAACTTCCTAGAAACTAAATATCATTCGTTTTTTTTTATACAAAACTGTTTTTGAAATTTCTAAATAGTTGCTGCATGGCCGTTTGTCCTGACAGACCCCACCCGATCAAATGTGTAACAATATTTGCACTGCTTCTTAGTTGTATTTTTCTTGCAATCTTGTTTCACTTGGCAACCCTGCGCATTTTTGTACACCGGATTATTCTGTTGTTCCGAGAAGGAGTTTATCGGGTTGAGGAAGAAACATAACCATAGACCGTTGGTTCACAGGAGATGAAATTGCCAAGAAACTACTAAGAGAACACCGACTCACTGTAATTGGTATAATTAGAGCCAACAGACGAGAATTACCTGCAGAAATATTGCATATTAAAAATAGGCAGTTGTATTCTTCAGTTTTTGCATTTAGCAACGATATGACTGCCGTATCATTTATACTGAAGAAAGGAAAAAATGTGATTGCTGTTTCCACTGTGCACAGAGATGATCGGATTGATGAAGATACTGGTGATAAAAAAAAAACAGAAATAATTGCTGTTTATAATTCCACAAAGAGTGGAGTAGATGTTGTAGACAGAATGATCACATCATATAATGTTTCCAGAAATATGAAACGTTGACCAATGGTAGTAGTTTATAATCTCCTTAATCTCGCAGCAATTAATGCATTTATAATTTACAAAGGCAACAACCTAGATGGAGAATTTTCCAAAACGAGAAGATTATTCCAAAAATACCTAGGTATGGAATTGGTACAGGAGAATGTACGACGGAGAGCAGTTGACACGCATTTGACAAAAGCTTTGCATGCTTCGGCCTTGAGTCTCCCAAGCATTGAGGTCGACCTTGTACCAGAGCCCCAGCCAGGTAAGAGAGGAAATTGTAAATATTGCAAAAGACGCAAAACTCGCTTTTTTTGCAAAATTTGCAAATATTGACTATGTATGGACCACATAATGGCATGCTGCAGAGATTGCTTAGAAAATTTGACCACCAAAGTTTGACCACTGCAGTTTGTGTCCACAATTTAATTTTTTAGTTTATATATGTTTTTGTAGTACTTTGTTTCTAATTACTTAAAGTTTTAAATTTTTTTTTGTTTTTTTATTACTTATTCGCTGTTCACAAATTTGAAAAAATATGCGTTGAAATTGTAAACATTTTTAAAATTTACCTAATACAACTTAAAAAAAATTGGAATTGTTTCTGTAATAAACATTATATAGTAAATGATTTGTTTAAAACGCGTTGATGCGAAATTAGCAATAAAATGTATGCTGTTGCTCGAGAGGCGGTATTTCATTTTGGTCCTCACAGACCACACCAGACCGAAAGTGTTTCAAAATGCTCACCCGATGAATGGAGGGTTAATATAATAATTGAGCATCTAGTATTTTAAAATAGAGTGATATTAAACCCATGGTTGTAGTTAAAATATTATTTTTGACTTCTGAACATATGGTTACAATTTGGTTCATTCTTCATTACTCACTCTATATAAGAATAATTAATCAGTCTAAATAACATCTAAATACCTGGAATCATATCTTCTGATAAGTCCTCGTTAAAATTCTCATTGTCGCCATCTTTACTTGTTCCAAAAGTACATTCTAGATCATTTAATAACTGTTTATCTTCATTATCGTCACTTTTAGGTCTGATATCTTCATCAATAATTTCTATACTTTCATTTATTATGGCATCTTGTGATTTACTATCCTTCTTAGTATTACTACTAGTTGATTCTATGTTTGAACTTTCTGACGGATTTTCTTTTACTTCAGATTTATTCTCTTTTATACTTTGACTATCACCATTACTTTGCTGTATTGGTGGTGGAGACTCTATTTCATCATCGCAGATAACTACAGGATCAGGAATTTTTTTATGTAGAGGGTTCTTAAGCTTTTTCCGTTTTTTGCAGTTAATGGGAGTTAGCTGTAATTAAAATAATAACTTAACAACAATAAACTACAAATAAAATATTAACTGCAAATACATACAAATAATATAAACAAAACACTATTAGAAAAATAGATTAGACAAACATCAATAATGTTATATTGTATGCCCCTAATTGAAGTCCTGTGCTTTGGTGAAGTTGAAATTGATGTTTTCACCCGAATGTTCCATGGACCGTTTCTGTCGATGTTCTGGTCAATATAACTTTCTGGAATTTTGTGCTATCGCACTGATTAGGCCACCGTCCCTCTGTTGGCTGTTTCTATATACACGATATCCATGTGATTGTAGGTGATAATTGAATCAGTGAGACCTTAAAGGATAACATTTGTCAAATTTATTTAAGATAGCAGTTTTGTCCACTTTACCAAGCTCTATAGACTTACTTAAAGACAAATAACATTCCATCACATTAAATAGCTCATATTTAGCTAGTTTTCCTGAAGTGAAATTTAAAAGGATAACATTCCTGGAATTTTATCCCTTTTGACTTTCAACGAAATTATTTTCATCATTGATATATAAAAGGATAATATTCCAGTTTTATATATTCTTGATTCTTTTTTGTTTTCTATTTTCTACTCTTTTTTTTTACTTTTCACTTGTCACTTGACCATATTAACTTCTCTCCAAAAGCATAATTGTGACAGAGTGTTTGCTATTACATCAGCCTCTAAGGTTATGTTTTGTATTGTATGTTGTGTTAAGTGAGTTTAGTTTGTTCTAAGAATTAGATAATTATTTAATGGTTTATGATGTCTAATATTCATCTTCATCGTAAGTGGCTCAACAATCTGTTGTGGATCTTGGCCCGCTCACAAAGAAGTTACCACTCCTGTCAATTCCTGGCAACTTCCATCCATCTTCTAACCCTTAGAATATGTAGATCTTCTTCCACATCATCAATCCATCTCATTCGTGGTCGTCCTCTGCTTGTTGTGTCCTCTGGTTTTGAAAATGTTAATCTGTTCGTGTATTTGTGATCTGACATCCTAGCAATGTGTCCAGCTCATCTAAGTCTCTGCACTTTAACGAATTTCACAATATCTGGATCGGTGTATAACTGATATAGTTCAAAGTTGTATCTTCGATTTTCATTTTCATTTACGGCCCCAAAAATCTTTTAAGAATTTCTCTCTCAAAAATACCAAGAAGTCTTTTATCATTTTGAGATAAGTTTCACGTTTCAGCCCCATATATCAAAACCAGACTTATTAAGGTCTGGTATATATTAGGCTTTACTGCATGTTTTATATTTTTATTTTTTAAATGTTTCTGGAGACTGTGAACAGTTCTGTTTGCTATTGGTATGCATCTTTTTATTTCGTTGCGTATCATGTTTGTTGCATTTACTAGCGATCCAAGATATGTAAATTCTTTGACTTGCTCAAAGGTATGGTTGTTAATTTGAATTCTCTGTTGGATATTTCGAGGGTTTTTAGAAACCAACATATATTTGGTTTTTTCCTCGTTTACTACACATCCTAATTCACTTGCTGCATCCACAAGCCTTGTAAAACACTGTACCATGCCTCTCATACTTCTGCCTACTATAGCTATATCGTCAGCGACTGTGAGAATTTGCGTCAATCTATTAAAAATAGTTCCATTCATTCTAATATTTAATAGTCTGATTATATAGGAGTCAGTAAATATTTTGAAATATTTACAGCAAATATTGTCATATTTATATTCTTTTATTTTTCCTAACTTAACTTTTTTGTTCTTTCAACTTTAAATTATCCAGGTTACCTGACGGTACTTCTTAAAAAGAATTGGAAAAACTCAAAATTATAACAATGTTCACTTACTTCTATATCATCAGGTACAACATTGGTCTCTTCATCAGAACATAAACTAACAATTTCTGGTTTTTTGCATTGTTCTGTGGACACTTTGGTGATGGTAATATTTGGTAAATTTGGAACTGGAGTAGGTTTTATTCTCTGTAAAAAGAAAGAGTTAAAATTAATACTTAAAAATAAGAATTTACATAATTTATAATTAATACTGGTATACATGGACACAAAATGTATAATAGTCTTAAACTGTATTTTCATGATAGTTAAATAGCATACACCATTGAAATTTGAAAATGTAAGAGCTCTTAGAAAAATATCTATGATACTGATTGCAATACATTTAAATCTAAAATATGTTTTCAATAAAACATACAACTTTAACAAACACAGCTGAACATGCAACCATGGTCTATTACAAAATATATACCTATAATATACAGTTCCTAAATAAAACTTCTCTAGTTTTCCTTGTAAACATCAATAATAGGTAATGGATTTTGACAAGAGCATGTAAACTAAAGAGCTTGTAAACCCCAGGTAAACTTGTGTACTGTATCCCATGACTGTATCGGTATGACTCATAGCTCTTGTTGAAAAAAATACAGGATAACAAATAAAACAAATTAATATAGTAAAAACAGAAACATAAGAGAAATTACCTTTCTAGGAGACTCAGTTTGTTCTTCATCTGATGATGAAAGTGTGATGATATCTGCCATTTAAATAAAGGTAAAAGTTCTCCTGCGTATGAACCTATGTTTGTCAACTAGAAAATATCTGTAATTTCGGCCAGATTGGGTGTTTAGCAAGAAGTTTTGATATATAAATTTGCTCTAAAATATTCAACTTCTTAGTTTTCCTACTTTATCCATAGTTTAAAAAATTGATTTTTTAAGTAATATACCTACTAATAAATATGAACACTACACTAACAGCTAAACCACCGGCTAAACATGATAGAATCACAAACAAAACTGTAAAGCTAGGTTAATTAATGTTTTTGACATTTTTCTTCTTTTAATATTAATTTTTAAAAAATGCCTGGACGACTTCTTCAAATAAAACTTTTTTCATAATCAACAAATAAAAAATTTATTCGTTCACTAACCACGAGATCACTCAAACAGGATTTATTAAATATCCAAACCTTCTCAAATTACAATTAAAATTATATTGGGACCAAATAAACAAGAATACTGCTAGCTGGCTATGGTTTATGTACAGGGTACAGCCTAAATTATGAAAAAAATAGAAAAGAAGAAAATTAAGGTTAATGATTTTATAAATTTTTTCTCATTTAAAAACTACATTAATTTCACAATGACTAACACAAGCAGCAAAGGCAATTTTCAACCAGATTCAGACGTTCATATTACCTACGAAGACCAACAGAAAATTAATAGATTCGCTAGATTAAATGCTAAATTAGAAGATCTCAAAGATGAAATAAAACGTAAAGAAAATGATCTGAAGAGTATTGAAGACGCATGTGACGAAATTGCTCTTTTTGATGATGACGAGCTCATCCCTTATTTGGTAGGCGAAGCATTTATTTACCAAAATGTAGAAAAAACTCAAAAGTGTTTAGAAGACACCAAAAATAAAATCGAAGACGGTATTAAAGAACTAAAAGTAAAATCTAACGAAGTCAAGGATACAATGAGTGACCTAAAGTCTCATTTGTATGGGAAATTCGGAAGCCACATTAATCTTGAAGCAGATGAAGAATAATTTATTAAGTTATTGAATTTGTCAGTTGTTTCTGAATATGGGAATATGTGTAAATTAAAATATTTTACTGTTAGAATCTAATCATAGTTATAAATTTGTGTCCTTTGCCTGTTTAAATGAAAATATGGTATTTTCTAACTTGTCTGAATAAAAAGTGCAGTGTATTGTTTTTTGTATTTATGTAGTTCTATATTATTTTGACATTGATTAATTCCCTATCTTAATAATGATCTTCATGAAATGAATCATATATTTTGAAAATGATATACATAGTACATAATATTGTTCTGAAGCTATTTTCTTGTGGCATTGTAAATTAATTATTATTTATAACTGGGAATAAGCCACAATTAAAGATAAAAATACGTTTATTGACGTTTCAATTTCCAATTCGGAAATCGTTCTCAAAATACAAACATTAAATTAAACAAATTTTGTTTTTTGTTACATAGTGAAAAAATTCTTCTAATTATTTAATTTTATCTGACTCATTTATATTGACAATTCAGACATACATTATGGCATTTTAAAGTAGACGACTTTAAAATGATATTGCCAATATTGGTGAGTTGCGCTCCTGGGACGACTTTACTTATAAGATAGTTCATTCGATTACATGAAATCAACTTTAACTTGAGAATATCCGTCAGAAAAAATCATAGCATCTAATTCGTCTTTAAAAAGACAAACACATGACATGATGACAGTAAAATTCTCCTGTTAGTGATTCCATAGTAAATTATGAGGGAAAAAACCAGGAAAAAAACCTCATAATACTATCCCGACATTGTAAGTATTTGTTCGTGAATTTAGTTTACCTTCAACAAACATCAAAAATTCTGATTTTATATGTTACGTAATTTAAAAACATAAATGATGTATCCTCTATATGTTACTGACTTACTAATACTGGTATTTTCTTATTAATAACTTCCTCTTTTAATATTGGTAACCAGATCCTACTACATTCTGCCGAGGAATTTGCGACACAATTGGCCTCATTTAGCATAATTAGAGCCGCTTCTTTGATTTTTCTTTTTTTACCATCCGTTTCTTTTAGGACTATATTTGAATTATTCCATTGAACCCTATGTTCATTATCCCATGCGTGTTTACATATTTGAGATCTATCAAATTCTCTATTTTTAATATAAGATTGATGTTCACTTATTCTAACATTTAATGGCCTTGATGATTCACCTAAATAAAACTGATCGCATTCACAAGGTATTTTATAAATGCAATTCTTTGTCCTTTCTTGTTCATTGTTAGGTTTGGTTTTGGACAAAATAGATCTCAACGTGTTTGTTGTTTTGAATGTTGTTGAAATGTTGAATTTATTTCCTATCCTTTTAAGTTTTTCTGATAATCCTTTTATGTACGGTATTGTTATTTTCCTCATATTATTCCTTGTGTATGCTGTAGGATCTCGTCCTAAGTTGTTCTGTTCTATTCGATCGATTGTTGAAAATTCCTTATTTATAAACGATAAAGGATAATCATTTTTTAATAAAACAGATGTTAACAAATGTTTCTCCTCCAAGAACGAATTTTCGTTAGAACAAGTAATTTTGGCTCTATCGTATAAGGATTTAATTATTCCCTTTTTTACATTAATATTGTGATTTGATTTGAAATTTAAATATCTATTGGTGTGTGTTGGTTTTCTATACACCTGAGTCTCATATCCAGTATCGTTCTTAGAGATTAAAACATCCAGGAAAGGTAGCGTATTATTATACTCCTTTTCCATGGTAAATGTTATTGTCTCTTCTTTATCGTTTATATCGTTTAGGAATGTGTCCAACAACTCTGATCCATGAGGCCATATTGAGAATACATCATCTACATACCTCCACCATACTCACTAGGTGAGTATGTCACTAGTCCCAGGAGCGCAACTCACCAATATTGGCAATATCATTTTAAAGTCGTCTACTTTAAAATGCCATAATGTATGTCTGAATTGTCAATATAAATGAGTCAGATAAAATTAAATAATTAGAAGAATTTTTTCACTATGTAACAAAAAACAAAATTTGTTTAATTTAATGTTTGTATTTTGAGAACGATTTCCGAATTGGAAATTGAAACGTCAATAAACGTATTTTTATCTTTAATTGTGGCTTATTCCCAGTTATAAATAATAATTAATAGTACATAATATTGACCGCTCCATATCAATCGCTATATACCTACCACTCAATGTTATTTACTTTGAATCACCAATACATTGTAACAATCATAAAAACAGTTGTACCTAAACTTTTATTACAATTTTGAGAATACAATAGAAACTTATTTTGAGATATAAAATACTTTGTGCAAAACTTATATCAAGTTAAATGAAAGGAATGATATTAAATCACTATATTGTTTCACCTAATCTTTCATAATATACATGTATTGCTTGACCTGGTTATTACTGGAATTCATTTTTCTTTGTTGTGCTTATATCTATTTTTGGATGTAGATCTGCATCAAACTTTCTTCTTATTACAAAGGTGCTACAGCTTAAATTGGCAATGTCTGTTTACAACCTTCTTGCACTCCAATATTTTACCTGCCTGCTGTTATATCACTCTTATCTTTTTGATGGCCACCCTCCTGATCTTTTGTCCTGCATTTTTTTTTTGTCTAAACTCTTAGCAATCTTTTGTCATGCAAGATTAGCCCATTGAAATCTCTTTCTTATGATTTTTCTGTAAGAAAGCATAACTTTCTTTTTGCATTATTTTTCCTAACACTTTATTGATCTGGTGCTGGTTTTACAGATTTTGATTTCTGGTGCAGTGTTTTGGTAAATATGTGAGTCAGCAAGGAATATTCATTTGTTGTCCCCCATTGTTCATTTTTTAATTTCTGCTTCTTTTGTTCTTTATATTAAATTAATTTACATTAATTCACCTAGATATGCTTTTTACCTGTTCAACAACACATTTAATCTTATGTTGTTTTCTATTTACCCTTGTTCTTCTGTGTGTATGTTTACTTATGATTTTCTTAATTTGATGGCGCTACAACCTGTTGTGGGTTTTGGTGTGCTTAACTACATTCTGCCCTATCTGATGTTCATGGTTTTAAGATATTCCTCTACATTATCTATCCATCTTTTACGGAGCTTTCCTCTTGTCCTATTTGCTTGAAGTTTCAGCTCTGGATTACTTTTGGAGCTCGTTTATCTGGCATTTGCATCAAGAAGAAAAAATTATTTTCAGACCAATTACACAGAGAGGTCTATTTCTATTTCCTAATAGAATATCTGAAATAAGTTGGGACTGTGAATGTGGGAGAAATGGATGTGAATGAGAAGTTTTAACAGATTTATGAATGTTCTGGAAGAAGCTTATTTGGAATCTTTCCCAGAGAAGAGTTGTAAGGTAAGGACCAACCAAACTAATAAAATTAATTGGTTTAACAATTACTTAAAAGCTATGCTTGATCAACTGCACTTTTTAGAACAGCTTAAAAGACAGTATTGGTCACCAGACATTGAAAGGACATATAAAGACTTTAAAATGCAATACAAACTTGCAATATGGAATGCAAAAATCATGGCAAATGACAACATCATCAGGAATTCCAGTAATCCAATAAAGTCTATGTGTAAAATCATAAATGAAGATTGTCATGTTAAGAAAAATATTAGCCAACCTCCTAACATCAGTCCAAATATATTTAATGATTAGTTTTCGCAGATAACATCCAACTTGAATCAAAGATATCCACTTTCAATACAGTACAGCTGTACCATCTTGGACTGAGTGTAAAGTTGATCAAAACAATAAAAAATATAATAATTCCATTAATATCTGCATCAAAAAACATGTTTTTCTATATGTCCTTAAAAAGCAATAATTTGTCCAATCTTCACAAAAGGGGACTCAAACCTGCCAGAAAATTATAGGTCAGTCTCACTACTGCCAATTATTTCGAAAATTGTGGAAAAGTACATGGCACTACAAATAGATTGTTTTGAGGTCAACGGTATGTTCTCTGAGTGTCCCTTTGATTTTAGCAAAAATAAAAATACAGTCTTAGGTATTTTAAACCTTCTATTGTATATTACAGAGTCATTTCATAAGCTTCAATTTAACTCAGTCCTTTTGTGTGAGTTAAGTAACGCTTTTTGGTCAACCATGAAATCCTTCTGCAGAAAAATATAACTTTAGTTCCGACAATATTGAGCTCATAAAATCATATCTAAAAGAGTACAGATTGTGAGGGTTGGTGGGGTGTTGTCAGAGATTGTTTTAAATATTGGAGTACCTTAGGGTTCAATACTTGGCCCTATCTTAGCTGTACATTTTTCAACACAGTAAGGTATCTTCAGCAGAATTTATTTTAATTAGACGATTAAATGTCTGAATAATTAAGGTCTAGATATGGAAATAATTTAATTAGTGCATGTTGCTTACATTGTAAATGAATTGTGTAACAATGAATATAAATATATAAATATATTTTTACTTATTTATCTTAAATTAACAATTTTTTGTGTAACAGAATGTGAATTTAAAAATTTTAGAACTTTCGGCATGTGTTGTACTTTTTCAGTTATTGCTGGTGGCATATCTTCATTTTCTGTATAATAAGATATGTGGCCGTTTGGGTATCGATAATTTACGGTTTTACCTAAAACAAAGAGAAGTTTTTATTAAAACATAAGTAGATTATTATGGTGGCAACATTACTCTGTCCGTAAGATATGTGGACCCTCTAGGGCTAGGGTGAGCCCATTGTACTATCACTTAATATTTGCCAATTACTATAAATGAAGCTAATATACACTTAATATTTATCAACTACTATTTTTTTATACACTGGAATACTTAATACACTGAGGGATCTTTCAGAGTGATTTGGGCATAGTACACACATGACTTCACATTTACTTAGAATTCCATTTGTTCTTTTGCTGATTGTATCTCTCAGTAACATCATTTTAAATATTCTTTCATTATCCTGTAGACATGTTCTAGACAACTTAGACTTTGTGTTTTATGTAGGTCCTTCTTTCCACAAACCTTTTTCTGTCGTATATAAATTTGAATTTTTTTCTTTCTTGTAAGTCTAATACAAATTCAGTTATCTTTAAATTTCGCTTGAATTTGTAGATCTGAAGATTGTTTTATAGATACTGGAGAGTAATCTACATAGATTAGACTTGATCGAGGTGTCGAATATGCCGTGGACAGCACACATATCCAACGAACAGTGAGAACTCCATTTAAATAAGGTCCATATATAATTCGTTTACCAAGGGTACATATACTTCGTTCATATAATGAGCAGGTCTAAATATCGCTTACTGCAGTTAATCATGGAGACAAAGGGGACGACAAGAAGCATAGGAAGACCTCAAAAGAGATGGGTAGTTGACATAAGATCAGTGGCAGGCAAATAATGGATTAGATTAGCGCAAAATCGAGAACGGCGGAAGCAATTGGGAAAGACCTACATTCAGAAGTCGACGGAAAATAGGTGACGAAGAGAGAGTGGATAATCATTCAGGTCAAAATAGAAGTAAAACGCCAATGCTTGAAAACAAGCATGGCCCATACAGAAGAAGCCAAATCTGGCAGTTCTTGAGAAATATTCTCTAAGTATTAAATACATAAGTACTAGCTATATATAAATACGTACCATCTACCTCCATCTGAGATCCATCATTAAAGCATACTTGTACTACTTCATTTGCCAATCGACTGGCAGTACCCACTCCTGGTACTACAATTTTTTTCTCCCTTGCATTAGAACTGTTTGCAAACGTTGATCCAATATTTGTACCTGTATATGATACTGTAAAAGATGGCTGAAATATAAAATACATGTGTCTGTAATAAATATTATGAACTGGATTCTGGCTGATTTCAATTGATACTCGATGAAAATTAATAAAATAAAAACTGTTTTCTTAAGTTTCACAAAATTACAAACAAATTCACGACAGCAGACATTAAATAAAGGGCTTAATGTGAAACAATCACAAGCCAGACATGAGTTCAAAAAGAGTAGCTACATAATATGTTCGGTTAAAGTAATAGTATAACAAGCCAGTAAAAATTGATTTCAGTCCTTCGTTAATAGATGGCGCGATAAACCTATGGTAACACTCTTGCGTAGTTTGACATAGTAGTAGTATTCGACATAATGATAAGTCACATTAAAATGGAAAACATGGGCGGAAGCGATTAAGACATTTAATGATCATTCTAGAATTCTAGCAAGAAAAATACTAAAGTTGAGTAAACATTTGATGACAGTGACCGTGATCCTGACTATGTACAATCTAGAAGTGACTCAAGTGATGAAAATACAGCGATATGTAATTTTTTGTTAAATGTAACTAGTCGAGAAATAGAACCACCTTGCAGTTGCACTAAGAAGTATAGGAAAAAGCTTTAGGGTCACGAGAGCAATGTTCTTAATAAGTTTTGGAACCTTAGTTCATGGGAGTTACAAAATAGCTACGTATTCGGATATATAGGTATTGTTAAGAAGAAACGGCCCTACCGAAAAAAGCAAAATCATCAAGAATCGCATAGAAAGAGCAATGCAGTCTACTCCATTGCTAATGTCTGTTTTACATACACGTGTAGTTTCACCATTAATGTTAATGGTGTATGTAAAATGTAATACACTTGTATGTAAAACAGAATTTTTAAATATCCATGGACTTCAAGCTTCTAAGAGAAGAGTAAATAACATTGTTCACAAGAAGACAGAAGGAAATCTAGTGCTAGAAAGAAACAACAGAGGAAAGCATACAAACCATGTGAACAAAATATCTGATTCGGAAATATTAAGTGTTAAAAACCACATACATTCGATTCCAAAGTAGCAAAGTCACTACAGTCGACAGTATAATATGAATAAAGTTTACCTGGACCATAACATGAGTATAACCAGTCTCTATTCAAGGTTCAAAGGTCCAAAATTGATAAGAAGACATGTGTTATATTGTTTGACTTGCAGCAAGCGTTACCGATTCCCAAATTAACCTCTGGTCCTGTATTTTATTTCAGGAAAATATAGATGTATAATCTAGGAATCTATGATTGTACGGAAGACGCTGGTCATATGTTTGTCTGGACGGAAAACGTTGGAAAAAGACGAAGTGATGAAATTGCATCAATACGCATAAAATTTCTGAGCTCAAAGATAGGTGAAGTAGAACATCTCGTTTTCCTAACGGATAATTGTCCCGGGCAAAAAAAAACTGGCTCTTAATGTCTTTATGGTTGCAGCTAGTGAAGGAACAAAAGTTTAAGTCTATTATAAGGTGAGACACACTCACCTTTCCTCTGAAAGGGATTTTGCTCTTATAGAAAAACGACACACTGATGACCAGCAATCTTTGGATTCTTCCAATGTTTTTTCCTTTTTATTCAACAGTCATAACAGAAAAGCATTTTACGTTAAGCATTGTGTGAATGTTACCTACAACTCCGTTACTGTTGTCAAGAAAGGACGTCCAAATATGCTTTCTGTATCTGATTTACAACAGAAGTATATTGAGCCCATTCAGATTGCAGAAAAGAAACTCGAAAATGTGAGATCATTATTACCCTACATACCTTCAGTGTATCATCCCTTCTATAGTAGTTTACGAGAGGATGTCAGTCATGATGTTGTTGATGAGGTCGCCGAGCCGGTTGATTAAATAATATTTTGGTTATTTATTATTAATGTAATAATGTGACAAGCCATATTTTTTTTTTAATAAAGACTATTTTTTTTAAGTTTGGGAGTAATTTTATTAACATTGTTGTAACTATAGTTTCATAGGGCATGATGCATCACATATATAAACTAAAACAACAAAAGCTGTTACTGTTATAATATTATTTTTAACATTCAAAGTCAAATATTTCACTTTTACCTTTTTGAGGCTTGTCATTGTTTCACATTAAGCCCTTCAAATGAAAAGCAAAAAATTAAAAGAATATCTATCAATATAAAATGTAAAACAAACAGAAAAATAAAAGATAGATACTAGAATTCGATTCGTCACGATTGTGGAACGGTCAAAATTTACAAGTCATTCTGATCCGAATTCATTAATTTTACGAAATAAATTTAGCAAAGAAATTTTGTGAAAATTAAGAAAGATTAATTTACAGTGTATTTTACTAATGTCTTTTATTTTTTGATTAAATGATGTTTAAAGTACAAGAAAAATATATATTACCATTGTTTGCTGATGGTTTTGATGGTTTTCTTTACCAACAGAGCCCATTGAGGTCGGTTTTCGGCCAACTATGATTGGAAATGAAGGACGCGGTAAAGTAGAGAGCGTTTTTTCTAATAGTACACAGTAATCGAACGATTGCTGACTGTGGCTCCACAAATATTCTAATGTACCATTAAGAAGGCTACTTTTCGAACTTGGTTCGGACTTGTCATGGAACTTGTTTCCAGATGCGTCGATTATTGTTATTCCCCCAGTAATCGATTTAGTTACTTTGCCACCTAAAATGTGTTTTAAATGTACCTAGATAAATATAAAAGTTAAGAAAGTGTAAATATAATATTAAAAATTAAAAAATCATTCATTTTATTATAAGTAGTGTGTCATTTGCATAATATATTTCTACTTATTCTTCCATTCTTTCAAAACTGCTGCTCTAAATAATCGACCGATATCATTCCAAACCATTCACGAAGGTTGCACAGTCAAAAAATTCTTCCACATTCACTATCTTTCCTTGAAATATAAGCTGTAGGAACTCATTCTTGTGTCTATAGAGAAGTTTTATTATATAATTTCAGTTTCATCATTCAATCTTTCCAGCATTGACTGATTTGTGATTCTATCCGTCCAGGACACTCTGAGGACGCTACTCTTTGTTCCTTCATCGTGAGTTTTATCACGCGATAATGAAGTTAGCTTGTTCTTGAATCGTCTCTTTGCTGGTTGTAATCCAAGTGACAAGGAATTTTCTTTTCTTACAGAGTAAATTATTTTTTCGGAAATGCCGGTTTCTACTGCTACTGTTTGTATTATTTTTGAAAGTGAATCATATCCTTGATTTACACGATAATTCATCACGTTGACTAAGATTTGTTTTTCCCCTAATGACAATGCCTTCCCCTAGGGGTGTTTCAGAGTGCAGTTCTCCATTAATAAATTCAATAATTATAACACAAAAACCACAATAATAACTATAGTCCATATGAACTTCAACGAATCAAATAAACTAACTAAAAAATGAACTAACTAAAATTAAATTTAAGTTTAGAATTTATACTAAATTTTAATGAGGGTGTAAACACAGTAAAATGACATTAATTTGAGGTTGGAAATCAGTCGTTAAGAATAACCAAAAACTGCAATTAAGATCCAAATTTTCCAAATAAGCAATGAGTTACTCTATATAATGTTATCAGTAATAACTATAAGCTTTATTTGTATAAAAATTTATTTAATTACTGTTAAACTGGGAATAAGCCACAATTAAAGATAAAAATACGTTTATTGACGTTTCAATTTCCACTTCGGAAATCGTTCTCAAAATACAAACAGTAAATTAAACAAATTTTGTTTTTTGTTACATAGTGAAAAATTCTTCTAATAATTTAATTTTATCTGACTCATTTATATTGACAATTCAGACATACATTATGCATTTTAAAGTAGACGACTAATGTAAAAAAGGGAATAATTAAATCCTTATACGATAGAGCCAAAATTACCAGTATTAGTAAGTCAGTAACATATAGAGGATACATCATTTATGTTTTTTAAATAACGTAACATATAAAATCAGAATTTTGATGTTTGTTGAAGGTAAACTAAATTCACGAACAAATACTTACAATGTCGGGATAGTATTATGAGGTTTTTTTCCTGTTTTTTCCCTCATAATTTACTATGGAATCACTAACAGGGGAATTTTACTGTCATCATGTCATGTGTTTGTCTTTTTAAAGACGAATTACATGCTATGATTTTTTCTGACGGATATTCTCAAGTTAAAGTTTATTTCATGTAATCGAATGAACTATCTTATAAGTAAAGTCGTCCCAGGAGCGCAACTCAACAATATTGGCAATATCATTTTAAAGTCGTCTACTTTAAAATGCATAATGTACGTCTGAATTGTCAATATAAATGAGTCAGATAAAATTAAATTATTAGAAGAATTTTTCACTATGTAACAAAAAACAAAATTTGTTTAATTTATTGTTTGTATTTTGAGAACGATTTCCGAAGTGGAAATTGAAACGTCAATAAACGTATTTTTATCTTTAATTGTGGCTTATTCCCAGTTTAACAGTAATTAATTTACAATGCCACAAGAAAATAGCTTCAGAACAATAAAAATTTATTTATTCTCAACTGTAGGACAATATAAAACTTTACTTTAACTTGACTGACAATCTATTTTATATTTTTCTTGACAATACTTCAGAACTGTCTATACTATCAATACATAAATTAACAACCATAGAACAACATCCAGTTTTAATGTTGAATATTCTAACATTCTTTAACAAAAAACTTATCGATTATAAAATTGCTGATTACTTTTCGAATAAGACTACCAATCATAAAAAACAATGAAAAATAGTTTTACTACAATGTTATTGACTGTAACGGGATAGTTTTAGGGCACTTCATTTTTAGGGCCTTGGTAATGTTCGATTGAAAATTCTTTTGAAGAAAATCGGCATCGCCTCCAACAACGCCAGATGATATGAAAAATAAAATACTCGTAAAAGAAGCTTTTAATAAAATTCAGTTAGAAATCTTAAGAAATGTAGCTCTGTGATTTGAATATCGGTTACAAACTTGTATAGACGTTGAAGGTGGATAATTTGAACATTTACTATATACTCATTTCATTAATATTATATTAATTCATTACATTTTAGTAACAATAGTTACATTCATTATATATTATTATGGTTAATATTTTTTGTTAGTTACTTATTGAATAAAAATAATTTTGTTATATTATCACTCAATACTTATTTCTACTTACAAAAATTGAATGTATTTTGAATGTAAGTTGAAGAAAACTAAAAATATTTCGGAAAGTAATTAATTTAGGTATAGAGAATGCTATATAAAAATGAAACAACATCATTAATACAATATTTCTAAAAAATAAAATATAGAGTGATCCATTTAAAAAAAATTGAGAAAATCGTAATTTTGTTTTTTAGTTCACCCTGTTTACAATTTTTTGTGAATGATTTCAATTAAACTTAATTTAAAAACTACAATTTATTGTTTACTTTATTATATAAAATAAATAATTGTTTATGCATTACTTCTTTATTATGCATTATCTCAGAAAGTAATTAATTTAGGTATAGGGAATGCTATATAAAAATGATAGAGTATCATTAATACAATATTTCTAAAAAATAAAATATAGGGTAATCCATTTAAAAAAAATTGAGAACATCGTAATTTTGTTTTGTAGTTCAATCTGTTTACAATTTTTTGTCAATGATTTCAATTAAACTTCATTTAAAAACTACAACATATTGTTTACTTTATTATATAAAATAAATAATTGTTTATGCATTACTTCTTTATATACATGGTGTTGATTTCATAGTAATTTCGAAACAAAAATGGTCATAACTTGTTAAATACTCTGTGTAGTAATGCAAAACTCAATACTATGAGAACAAAAATTATGAGAAAACATAAATAAAGATTCAAAAACTCAATAACGTCAGTGAAAACCTACCCTGGTGCAGATATTAAGTCAGACCATAACCCACTTGTCGCTAAGTTTCGTCTGAAATTTAAAAAAATCCACAAACCTAATCCTATAAGATACGATCTCAAACAACTAAGAGATGATGACATAAAGCAAGAAATACGAGAATATCTGAAGAACAACATATCTAAGTCAGAAGTAGTTAATGATGTTGACACAGAAATAAACCACTTAGAAATCATTGGAAAGGAAATATTAGACCAATACCTGCGACCGAAAAAGACAGAAAAGAAAAAACCATGGATGACCGACAGTATATTACAGATAATGGACAGAAGAAAAGAATCCACGCGGAAAGACTACGTTGCATATCAATTTCTAGACAAAGAGATAAAAAAAGATGTCAGAGAAGCTAAAAATAGAAATCTGAAAGAACAGTGTGAAGAAATCGAGATATTGGAACGTAAACACGATTCCTTCAACCTCCACAAAAAGATCAAAGAAGCAGCAGGTATCTATAAATCAAAAAGGCCGGGACCCTTAACAGACGCTCAAGGAAATCCAATAGTTGATATTGAAGAAACAAAAACAACATGGATGAACTATGTGACAACAACATTTGAAGACGATAGGAATATCACCATCACACAAAATAAAAATGACGATACCGGACCACCTATTCTCGAAGCGGAAGTAGAACCTGCTATAAACAAAATTAAGGAGGGAAAAGCCGCAGAACCAGACGAGTTCTTGATCCTCAACCTTGATCTTCAACAATATATACCAAAGTGGAAAAATACCCCAACAGCGGCTAAGAGCAACTTTTATAACAATCCCTAAAAAACCCAATGCCATAAAATGTTAAGATTATCGAATAATAAGCCTTATGGGCCATCTCCTGGAAACTTTTTAAAAAATTATACAAAAAAGAATATATAAAAAGTGTGAAGAACACATGACAAACACACAATTCGGCTTCAGGGATGCATTGGGTACTCGAGAGGCACTTTTTGCAATACAAGTTCTCTTTCAAAGATGTAGAGACGTGAATTGTGATATATGTGTGTGTGTTTTGTTGATTACCAGAAAGCGTTCGATAGAATAAAACATGACGAACTGATGCAAATATTAAATTCAATATTAAGTTCAAATTACGAACAAACTGCAGCTGTTAAAGTAGGGGTCAGTTAACAGACGACATAAAGAGGTGTGCGACGGGAATGTATACTGTCCCCATTATTGTTCAATACATATTCAGAGCACATTATGAACCTAGCGCTAACGGACATAGACGAGGGAATACTTAAAAACGAAGAACGATTGAACAACATAAGATACGCTGATGATACTGTCATTTTTGCAGACAATCTTGAAGGTCTGCAGACACTTGTCTACATGGTGGCAGAAGTAAGTAGCAGGTTTGAGCTTGATTTTAACGTCAAAAAAACCAAATATATGGTTATCAGCAAAAATAGGATACCACCTGGTCAATTACTAGTTAACCAACAACCTATAACACAAATCACCAACAAATTTCCTGGATAGACAGAGTTACCAACGAAGAAGTACTACATATAATGGGTAAAGAGCGCGAACTAGTAACCACCATAAAACGTCGCAAACTGGAATACCTGGGCCATATAATGCGCAAACCTACTTCGGGCCATACTTCAAGGTAAAGTGCATGGGAAAAGAGGTCCAGGACAAAGAAGAATATCCTGGCTGCATAACCTTCGAAAATGGTTTAACTTAACCGAACTTTTCAGGGCAGCAGTCAACAAAATCAGAATAGCCATGTTAGTGTCCAACATCCGTAACGGATAAGCACCATAAGAAGAAGATAAATATAAATTTGAAAAAATATATAGGGTGTCTCATTTTAAAAAAATGTATGCTTGCTATACCACGTAGTTATTAATCACCCTGTAGAATTCCACATCTTTTTCAAATATGGAGAATATTATTGCCTACAGTTTTTTTTAAATAAGTTTTTTGGATATTCTATACCATAATGGAATTATCGACCGATGCCTCACTAAAAACTCACCCTGTTTATATTAGTCCAGGCTGTGAGGCCGCTCCCGTTGGGAAAATGTTTCTGATTCGAAGCACGTGGTGTTCGTGTGTATTAAGGTATAAAAACGCTTATTAAAAGCTTAAAATTTTTTTATTATAAAGAAGATCTTTTCGGAATATGTATCATTCCATCATCAGTTTACTAAAAGAGAGAGTAAAAATACCAATATTAAAAACAACAAAGTTAAAATTTGAACATACAAAAAGAGAAAGTTGGTTTTTTACTACTTACATAAAAAAGGTTGTTAAAAAAGGTTGTTTCTGATTCGGTTTCTTCGCGGATTCCGGTTCAAAAATGTCCCCTTTAAACAAATCTGAAGGGTGCCGGGCGAAATTTTTGGGCAGAAATTGTTTAAACAATTTTTTTTAAACAAATTCCAAAAAATTTTTTTTAATCTGGAAAACGTTTTTTTTTTAGGTTTTTTTGGGTCATTTTAAACAAAAAAGGTCTCTTGTAGTTTTTCTCTAAAGTTGATAGTTTTCGAGTTATGAGCGATTTAAAGTCTGAAAAACGCGAAAATACGCATTTTTGAGGCTTGAAAACACATATGTAAATTATTATTTTTGAGGTTACCAAGTGTCTAAATTGAAGTTTAAACATTCAACTTCAAGATTGTGAAGAGTAATCGGGGCTTATTTTAATTTAGACTGTTGTTTTTTAATTGTTAAATATGCGCGTACACTCGATTTTTCAGCCGCCGCGGCGCGGCGCGCTAGAGTGCGCTTCTATCGTACTTATGCATAGTTTACATATACACTTACGCAAAAAAAACCCGAACAAATCCTTGAAGTTTATTAACATAGTTTTTTCCATAATTTATTTATGTAGGTATTAATTATTGTCATTGGGCTAATTAAATAAATCAATCATCGCAATGTAATAACCTATATAGTTTTTTTTTCTTCCAAATTTGAACAATATAATTATTATTTATTGAGTATATATTTATTTATATCAATTGTAAATAATATTTTTAAATTATTATTTAAATAATACAATGCAGTAAATATTAATATTAGTAAACTTAATTTTAAATTGCGCGGTGTTTAAAAACAATATACTATCGCAAAAATGCACGTTTTTACCTGTTTAACAATCGCGCGCTCATACTTGATTTGTTATTACTTAAACCATCATTAGGAAGACTATTGTTTAATGCCCATTAAAAGGGTATTATATTATTAATGTGTTATTAAAAAAATTGTGAATGGATTTAAAATGTCTTTTTCCGTACCTCTTCTTAAATGAAAACTTACCGAAGAGAATTTAGTTTGTATTTTTTGTAATAACATCAACAATATTAAGTTAGTGCAAAAACCTAAAGTAGATTTTTACATAACAATACAAAATGCTGCTCTTCGACGAAAAGACAGTGTGACTGAAAAATTTAATTTAATCTAGCCAATATACCTTGTACCTCTGACGCACTTTACCAACACTTGTTAAGAGCTTTCGCTAAAACATATATTTGGCGAAATGCCATATATTCCCGCTATCAAACTCTCGATTTTACACAATATGGATATTATATGTCTGATAGTGGTGGGTTGGGAAACCGTGCAAATGCAAAAAGACTTGCAAAACTAATGCTTGTGATATTAGTGTGTTATTTAACAATCTTTTGTACAATTATTTTATGTAACTATTATTAGACTTTAGACGAAATTTATATTATAACTCAATTGATATAAATAAATATGTACTCAATAAATAATAATTATTTGTAAGTATATGTAAACTATGCATAAGTACGATAGAGGCGCACGGTAGCGTGCGGCGGCAGAAAAATCGAGTGTACGCGTATACTTAACAATTAAAAAACAACGGTCTAAATTAAAATAAGCCCCGATTACTCTTCACAATCTTGAAGTTGAATGTTTAAACTTTAATTTAGACACTTGGTAACCTCAAAAATAATAATTTACATATGTGTTTTCAAGCCTCAAAAATGCGTATTTTCGCGTTTTTCAGACTTTAAATCGCTTATAACTCGAAAACTATCAACTTTAGAGAAAAACGACAAGAGACTTTTTTGTTTAAAATGGCCCAAAAAAAAATATTTTTGGACTTTGTTTAAAAAAATTGTTTAAACAATTTATGCCCAAAAATTTCGCCCGGCACCCTTCAGATTTGTTTAAAGGGGACATTTTTGAACCGGAATCCGCGAAGAAACCGAATCAGAAACATTTTCCCAACGGGAGCGGCCTCACATCCTGGACTATATAGTAAATAATGCATAACTTAATAACGGAAACTAAAATAGTCCTTACAATAAATTAAGAAACAAAAATATAAATACCGTCATAAAAACAAGCTTCAAAATCGTATAGGTTTTCCATCAGAAAACATTTCGCTTTGTCAGTGTAGTACGTCACTTTCGGCGTTTTAGCCTTCACTAAATCGACAAACGTTACAGCATATGCATATTTGCTCCACAGTTTTTCGGGCAAATTTTCCAATCCGTAGATTTGATCAGCACCTTGAGGGGGTACTGGGGCAGGTTCCTCACCAAGAGGAACTCCCCGACCCCCTTTTAATTCATACACAACTATCCTCATACCATCTGGGGATATCCTATGAAATAAATAAAATAATAGGTTTAACATAGTCCACAATATGTCTCTAAGCTATATATGAATATAAGAAACAATATTTTTGTAATGAGAATTAAACTCATGAAGCGATATTTATTTACATTTTTATCTGTATCATATCAGGTGAAAGAGAATTAAAAATGCAAATGAAAAATCAAAATATATAGGGTGTCCCATATAAAAAAACATAAGTTGGTATTATATTTACTTAGCGAGGCTCCCTAAAAAAATTTCTCGTACGCCACTGAACGCGTCCATAATATATCTATCAAAAGTTTTAATAAGCTTTTTTAAAACTTTTCTTAATAAAGAAGATATTTAACACTGTCGTTTTCGACATTTTTCAATAATCGCCCCATATCTCGCCACTGACCGTGCAAGTTCGGAACAGCGACACCTGGTGTCGTAAATCAGCAAAATTTACTGCGCTTTCATGTTAGATCGAGGTTACCGGATAACTGTCAAGGACGTAGCCCCAAAAAAGAATAACAAGAAAAAGTAAGATTGAGGTTATGTCGGTATGTTATTAAAAGGTAAACGTTGTATGTAGTGTAAACACAAATAAATATATTATTAAATTAAAGCATTACTGTTAATATGGATGCAATAATAAAAACTGGATTTGAGAAAGTAAATCACCAAATAACTTTTCAACCAAGCACTGAGTCAAAGGCAAAAGCTTTAGTAGTGGCAAATGTTAAAAAAGAATGGAAGAATTAAGAAAAATAAATTACCATAAATAATGCTAATGCATAAATTAGCAGGTTAACCCCATGATATCATATTGGAGTGAACAATTAATTCTTTCCCTGTAAAATTTTTGGACAGCGAATATATCTTAATGCATCTTCAGAAAAACTTGAACTTGATGCATTTTTGTAAACTTTGTAAAAAAAAATTTAAATTAATAAAGTAACTGTTATGAAACTAAAATTTACACTTAAAAGTGAACTTTTATTTATTATTTATTTCAAACTGACTTTAAAATCGGGCGCAAGAATAATGCATAATTTAGGTTATGTTACTTATTATGCTTTTTATGATATAAATCCACTTTTCTCTTTGTAGTAATTTGTGCTTCGAAGTTGGAAACGAATAAAACTTAAATTGATAATTTTTTGTTGTATTTTTACAATTTATAACACATCATTTCCTTAATCCCATTTTCTTCAGTGACAGAAGGTGTAAATAAAAAAACGAATATGAAATATGACAATTGACAATATGAAATCTATGAAATGTGCAGTAAAAAATGCAAGATTTCTCCGCTACTCGCGCACGATCGTTTCTCGTATCACATCCAAGTACTTGCACGTCGCCAATTGATGATTTGATTGGGCAATTATTACTTTAACGAAAAAAGAAGTCATGACATCTTAACTACTTGGTATACCCTGCAAATATCTTTTTGCTATCTCCTCTAGTTTTCGGTATACCCTGCAAAACATACCAATTTACCCTTTAGTAGAGTCTGTAAAGGGACACCCTTTACAAACTTTTTGAAATTCAAAATATTTTCTAGACGTACATATTAGAGTAAGACTTTGAGAGTCCCTTACCTACCTCATTACTTTGCGCACGAAATCGTTCTTGGAAGTCTTCCGATTTTTAAGAAATTCTATACAAACTTCTCCGTTTTTTATTATACTTAGGACGGCATTTCCCGTTTGATGTCGCGTAGGCAACAGCCGTTCTGAACACAGAGGTGTTAAAGAACTTTTTCTTTCGATTTTTTTAGAACTATGGTCTCTTTGACCGATATGTTTCTCTGTTTGAAGGTGAGGTGAATGAATGCGGCCTGCAGATACTTGATGGTTGACGTGAGTTCCTATGTTCGAACTCAACGGGGGATCCGAGTGATGCGAATGTAAGGATCCTGTATTATACTTAGGTTGGTATTGATACCCTAAAAATAAGAATATACTTAATATAAGTACATAATATAAGTAAATATTATTTAATCAAAAGGTAATTTAACTCACCTCCTGGATCAACAGGTATCGCTCGCTCTTGACTACAACTTCTTAAACTGGATACGGGTCCATTGCAACAACAATGGGAATTTTGAGAACAACATCTTGAAATTTGTTCTGTTGGTCTAGAGTCTCTGTATGTGGGGAGGCCTTCATAACTTCGAACACGAAGCCGTTCCATGTCTACAAAAACATTTTTTATCATCGATTGTATAATTAAAACTACATAATAGTGTCACTAAATAGTGACTGTTAACTTTTAGTATCGAAACCAAATTCCGAATAAATATTCTCTCCGAGAACAGTAAGACTTTGTAGTGGTAGAGGGCTCTTCATGCTAGGTCGTGATCGCTAATACTGTGAGGCGAGTTCTACCCAGTGCAACCTATTGACAGCTTAACACAGGTAGGGATAAACAAAGCAAGCAACAATTTAATTACCTATTGAAAAAAGATTTCGACTTAAAGGCAGTGTTTACATAAAAGATTTTTCAGGTCTCTGTATGGAAAGGTCAAAACGACGCCAAAAGAACCCTCTATTGACAACCTAAAATATACGATGACATATCAGGCAGACACTAGCTGAGATACAAAAGTAAATTACAACTCAGTCATTCAATCTATTTTGCATGCACACTTGAGCATTCGCCCGGAATGAGCATTCGTTCCTCCCTTTGCTCAAATGAGTATGGAACGAGCCGAATCACAGCCACCTTTACTTCCAAGCCATGAAGTAAAAAAGGCAACACCGCATTCTATGACGTCGGTAGTCCGATAATCAGCTGTAAGGTCTACCAGAATATTAAACTAATTTGGATTTTAGGAAACTGATATTTTGAAAACTTCAATTCATTTCAGAAATATTTTTAGGGAAATTAAATTAATAAAACCTTATATATACCTAGTAAATATATATAAAGTTTTATTATTATTTAGGTTATATTATCAATAAAATAATCACTAGAGTAAAATTTATTGCACTTAAAATACAGTGTCAAACAGTTAATCTTACAATCAAATGCAGTCAAGAATCTCTAGAAATTTTAAATATTAAGTACCTAAGCATATAAATAACACAATACATTAACACGACATTTAAAAAGATTATTAAAAATACAAAAGATATAAAATTTGTGCTAAGTAAAAACTTAGTGTACCTATTATGATTAAAAAATTCATCCTAAGAAATCAGACACAATATAAATATGGTTCTAAATTAATCTAATTGAAAATTAAATATTTTACTATTTACTTATAACTTTTGTTGAATTTTCATACTTAGATATACAAAAGTAGCAATTTTAAATATGAATAGGTTTGTTGTCATATAGACCAAGTTAAAAGAGGTATACATGAAAAATGTGTTGAATGTAACATACCATTTATAACTTGTATATCGATTTAAAATAGCCTATATTCTCAAAAGATTTTTGAATGTAATACTCAAATTTGTTATCACTTATCTAAAAAGCAGATCTAAATGAGAAAGTAAGTTCTCTAATTGTGACCATCTTGTTAATTTAATATATTGTAAAATCCATTTTAAATCATTACCACTTAATCTATTCTTACCTACATTAACGATTACACTAAAATTACTGCTAACTATTACACTACATATTACACAAATATTATCACACTTGTGTTCCAACTGATTAATGTTTAATACATAGAAATATACACAGTCACTTGTAATTTTACTTGTCCAGTTTTTCAATGGGATATTATTGTCTAAGTCTAATTGACATAATTATGTTATCTCTTGTTCCCTCTTCTTATGCAAAAAGTTTCTTCTGTCTTCGGGATTCCTTCTTTCTTTAGTACAATGAACAGTTACATATGATGGTACTTCAGGAAATATATTAGGAACTGCATTGCCTTTTAATTTGGGAAATATTAACTTTTCAATGTTCATGAAAATGTTTGGCACATACTACGGAAGATTTGGTAATTGTACAGCCTTCTCTATGAATAGAGCATAAGCCAGTATACCTTCTTTGGGGATCTTTTGGAAACAAAAACATACTTTCTGCCTGTTTCGTTTTTAAAGTACTGGCATAATTGGTTTTGCAACCAGGTACACAACAATGCCAGAGCATCTGTAACAAAAAACAAAAGTATTATTATTGTTGTTTTTAGTTTACATATTTTGTAACAAGAAGCAAAAGTATTATTATTTTCAGTTTGTTTTGTAGGTTATATTTATACTTGCCTTTTAAATTGTCGTTAAGAATCTTCTAAAAGTTCTAAATTTAATGAAATTTTACTTATATTAATATTTTCTAATTGATTTAAACACAATTTACAAATAAAACATTCGAATAAAGTTAAAAAAAACAATAAATTCAACAAACTTTACAAGCCTTCATATATGAAATGTTAAACCAAAACAAACCACAGTCGGACTACCACGCGTTGTTGCCAAATTTCTACTTCATGGCTTGGAAGTAAAGGTGGCTGTGGCCAAATGGATCTGCACCCCTCAGCCCGAGCCGAGAGTTTTCGGTACTTCAAAGTGAGCAGGCATTCATTTCGTGCTCAGTGTGTACGGAGAAAATCTCGAGACGCACTGAAAGGTTGAACAGCTTTAAAATCCAGTAGTAAATTGGAATGCGTACGCGGGTTAACAATATTGTGCAATTTAAATTATTTATTGCGTAGTATAAAAAGAAAAAACAGAAATGTCTCAAGACAATTGTCTTTTACTTATTGACTATTTCCGCAGATTTGAATAGCTTTGGAGTACTGTCTTCTGGTTTTGAGACCAGAGTGTAGGTCGGCAGCATTTTATAATTGAGACATGTTTCGTTACAATTGTAAAGCTGGTCTCCGGTAATTCCTTCATCTTCTGGTAAGCTGTGCAACGTCTTTTTGAAGACTTCGACAACTTCTGGCTCAGCCGACAGTTTCTCACCACATAGCTGTAGCTTCTTCATCAGAAACATCCTTCACTTGCCTTGAAATCATTATCACCTCCAATTTCTTTGTTGAAGTGTAAGGCAGTTGTTGAAACCTGCAACGAGCACCATTTTTCAATTTTGTTTCTAGATTTATCCAGTCACTCACAGTGCTAGTGCCTACACCCATCTCAACAGCAATCTTCTTAGCCGTTTCACCAGCATCTAGCATCTTCAACGCACGAAACTTTTCTTCCATTGTTACAACATTTGTCTTCCTTTTCTCGGCCATATTACCACAAAAACGATGGACAAACAACGAGAAAACAACGACCACAATATCAAGTAGGTACGAATCTTAAAAATTTTACGCCAAACAACTTTCACTGCTCAAGAGCAAACAAAGACCGAGATAGAACAGACCCACAGTCGGAGAAAGTCATAACGGTAGAGAGTCATTCAAGGTTACATACCACGGTAGAAATACATCCATTCGTAGAGAACTACATAGGCGCGGAGCCGTTCATATCTTCGAAAAAATTGTTCCGCAAACTGTACGGATATGGGGAGGTCTGGATGTGATCTAGGTCCTGATATGACAGGTCCGGATGTGGAAGGTTCGACCGTACTGCAAGCTGGAGTATAAATCACCATAGAAATCTGAGCGCCAGAGCAAGGCGCTCTTCTCTAGATATGGCTTTTCTTAAAACAGTGTACTTTCACCCCACTCGTGATACACAAGTAAAGTTTCTGAAGTTTTCTTATGTTTTGTGCCCAATAGTTGCTAATATTTGAGCATTCTTTTCCCTGTATAGTTTCCTCCGTCACTATCGCTTTTCTGCTGTTACTTTTTTATGGTTTCCTATATATAAATGTAGGAGCAACAGGCAACTAGAAGCTTTCAGTTTCGGTTCACCATTACTTGCCTTCTGGGTGCCTCTACTTCCGGCTCAGTACTCATGCAAGGCGCGGCGATGGCGGCTTCATTCTCCCTCTGGATTGTATTCGGAGCGAATGCTTAGGTACGTACAAAGCTTTAGAGACTCCCACAGCGGCTTCGATTCCGATTCTGTACGAACAATTGTAGTGACGGTTTCTTAATCTTCGCTGAAGTAGTTGACGGAAAATTCTGCTAACTTTTCAGTTTCTGATATCAGTTACGTTTAATTGCAGCTAAATTTCGACGGAAATTTTCCAAAAACTGAAATGATATTCAGTAGTAAAAATCACCATAAAACTAGATCTGAGACAAACCAGAGAAAGGACCTGTAGAACTCCTTCTGTGTGACTATAAATAAAACTTGGAGAATGACCTACTTTTAGGTTTTTCGATTGTCTACCTGAATTACATCGAATAATATTCAACAGCTACATAAATAATTTATTATTGTTATGTATCTTATAAAGTGTAATAAATTGTACAAGTAGTAAATAAATATTTTAAATAAAACGAAACCTGAACTTATTTCTTGTTATATTTAAAAACATACCTGAAGGTAACTGATTGTCAACATAATTATTCTGCAGAGGTAAACAATTACTATTTGCTTTCCTAATAAGACCATTGGTAGTATATACATTTTGAGAATGTGGAAGTGATATGTTGTCTCCGAATGTACTATCTCGTTTGCTTGACATTGTATAATTTCCACTATCGTGGCTGACATGATACACCATATTCTGAAACAAAACCTATTTTAAATCGATGTCTTAGCTTTAGGAAATTTATAGTACATATAAACAGTAATGTAACTTGTGGTTTTAAATTTCTTATACATAGTGTCTAAAAAGGGTATGGAGCAAAATAACTAATCCATTATATTACAATTCAATTGCTATTTGTCATATGGTATATTTACATTGTTGCTCTTGTAAGCAACGATATATCTTTGCCTTCAAAATAGGCTTCAGTTTCGGAGATTGAATCCTCATTGGAGCAATATCTCTTACCACGGAACATTTTTTCTTAAATTGAAAAAAGGTGGTAGTCACTGGGGGCCAGATCTAAACTATATGGTGGGTGCGAAAGTAATTCAAAGCCCAATTCATAATCGTTTTTATCGACTTTTAACACGTGCATTGTCTTGATGAAATAACAATTTTTTCTTAAACAAATGATGCCTTTTCTTTGCGATTTCGGTCTTCAACGCTGAAATAAATGAATGCAGTAGTAGCTGTTGATTATTTCTCCATGTTTCAAATAGTTAATGAAAATAATTCCATAGACATATAACACACAGAGACCGAATGCTGCAATACAGTTGCGTCAGTAAGTCAGTTGCCCAGTACGACCAAGAAAACACTGATGCACAGCAGTCCCTGCATCTCCTTTTAATGGACCGGGTATATCGATCACGTCACCTTCTCATTGGGGCCATTTAGGTCACGTGGTCGATAAACCCGGTCCATTAGAAAGAGATGCAGGGACTGCTTTGAATCAGTTTTCTCTGTCGCACTGGGGAAACGAGACTGCATTACAGCAGTCAATCTATTTATATTATATGTCTATGAATAATTCCTTGCGAGTCCCAAATATAGGTTAGGTTAGGATAAAGGTTTATTAGGTTTTTGGTAACTTTGTACGGCTTTCTCCGATTGCTGTCCACTCACATGACTACCGATTTGGTTCCGGAGTGAAGTTATGGCTCTGATTCATCCTTTGTGATATACCGACGCAAAAACTCCCACTTATCCCGATTAAACATGTCCAAATAACTCAAGACTCAATTCCCATTTGGAAAACAGCTTTCTCATAACCAAATGTTTATGTATATTAGTGAAAATGCTACCTTTTGATAACTTTAGAGTGTCAGCTGTCTCTTGCAACTTCACTTTGCGGTTTCCCATAATCATTTTTAACGTTTTCTTTTATGTTTTCAGGAATAAGTGCCCCATTTGGCGTTCCAGAGTGCTCAGACTATCGTATAATGGTTGAAATCAATGGGACATAGCCCCAGTCACACTTTTTGAGCTATTACTTAGTTTGGACGGAATTTTTCCCATCAAATAACAATGGTAAGAATCACAAAATTACTTGAAGCACTGTAACTTGGTAAATAATAATCGAAATGACATGAAATTTTGACAGTATGCTTTTGAATGTTGGATAATTCATTAAGTCGCTTAATAAGTCACTGTAACTTAGTAAATAATAATCGAAATGATATGAAATTTTGACAGTATGCTTTTGAATGTTGGATAATTAAGGCGCATTAAGTCGCCATATCATGGTTAAGCCTAGGACTTATTGACCCAGGCATTAAACTAATATACCATTAGAATATTTTCGACTAACTTCAAACTTGTCTAATATTATAACTTACCCGTCCCCTTTTCATAAAAGGATGCTCCAGTATTTGATCCAACTGCATTCGATCTTTTGGATTCTTTTGTAATAAAGAATTTATAAGATCTTTCGCTTCTGAAGACAAATAACTCGGTAAATTATAGTTGGACATAACAATCTTCGTTAAAGTACTTTTTACACCAGGTGTATCGAACGGTGGTGACCCCACTAGTAGTGTATATAGGAGACAACCTAATCCCCAAACATCAGCTTCCCGTCCGTGAGATCCTCTTGTCGCGACTTCGGGTGAAATAAAGTTGGGAGTGCCGCACAGCGTCATATGTTTTTCGTCTGGGGTGGCTAGTTGAGTTGCTAGACCAAAATCAGCTATTTTCTAAAATAATAAACATAAGATATTCAAAAATATGGCAAAATCATATCAAATACAAATATTAAAATATGTTGCAAGATAGAAAATCGTCTCAAATTGCAGATGAAGCGAAGTTGTATACTAACTGGGACAGGTACAAAAAAATGATGAAAATTTATGGGTATTTAAATCTGGTAGAATCAGATGTAAAAAATTAAACAAAAAAATTAAAATGAGGATAAACTACAATAACAATTGTTATGATTCCCAATCATTCATAACAGAAATTTAATATCAACCCAAATAAACGCCATTATCTTAGAAATAAAAAATTGGCAGTAATGATATTTCCCTCTATATGGGTTGTCTTTTTTGTTTTGCATATAGCCAGAGAAACAAAAAATATATAGAGTAAAAATACTTTATTGCTTTTCAAAATATGTCTCACCAAGATCGATAACTTTTGCATATGTTCAAACCAATTGGTAAAATAGTTATTCCAGTCTTTAGTTGACACCTGCAAAATCGCTGTTTTAAAGGCATCAATGGCTTCTTCTGGTCACTGAAATCGCTGCCCACACATTGAATTCTTGATCTTTGGAAACGCGAAGAAGTCTTTGGAACTTAGGTCAGGGCTCTAAAGGGGATGGTTTAATAATTCGATATTTTGAAGCTCCAAAAACTAGTATTGTCTTTTTGGGCAGTCTGAGCACTTGCATTGTCCTGATGTAGGATGATTCATCGCTTGAAGTTGCTTTCTTGGAGTTTCACAATAAATTCTGGTAAAAAACGGTTATATACCAATCGGAAGTAACCATTCTTCGATCTCCTAAAGCAATTGTTGCCACATGAGCCGATTTTCTTTGACATACTTCGAGAACGGGTCACTTTTGTTGGTTTTTCCTCATCGTGAAACATCACACAGCAGATTGGCGTTTATTTTCCGGGTCGTAGGAGTAAATCCAAGATTCATCGCATATAAACGTTTTCTGTGAGCAGATAAGCGATCCAACTTCGCAACACCCACTTCATCATGTAGGATCTTTTGAATCGAAGTCTTTGAAATGCCCAACGATATCTCTATCTCCTGGTATGTTTCACGGCGGTCGTCCTTAATTAGCTGACGAACCACATCAATTTTTTGCTGTTTTAGGTGAGCTTGACCTGGATTAATAGCTGAGACTCAAGCAACCATGTTGAAATTTGCAATACCAGTGGGAAATAATTGACTGGTGTGATGTTTCATTCCCAAACACAGAAACCATTTCAACGAGACATTGCTGTTGGGATAATCCTATTCTAAAATTGTGAAAAAATTATTACTCTAAAATGTCCTCAGCTAAGATTCAGTTTTCGACTGACTTGCTAATTTCAAAATTCACTGTATCTACAGGACTTGATGTATCGAAATAAAACTCTCAATTTATGTCAACAAAAGATTGAGGTTACATTTGTGTCAGAAGGTTTTATTGGTGGCGCCCTCTAAGCAGCTATATGCAAAACTACAAAAACAAACCTTGTACCACAATATGTTCAGGTAAAGGATTATATGCTATCAAGAATAAAATTAAAATTATAATCCCTTATGGTATCACAAGGAACCAAAACAGTTATTGTTGAATTACCAACAATTAAAAAGGAAAGGACAGTAGGTAGTATAATCCCCAAAAGTGGGCAGAGTGCCACAATTTATATTATTTGTGGTGTAAACTTTAGTATGTTGTTTAAGTTAATGTGATTCAGAATTATTTTTTATCAAATGCACGAAATAGTCAATATTGATAAGCCTTCTTTTAAAATAAGTTCTGAGAATGTTGGCAAAGATAAATGTAGAATCTTTATAGTAATGTGAAGGAAATTATTCTAAACATTTATTCTGGTTAGTAATTATAATTACCCTCAAAAACATCAATATAAAAATATATATATATATAAATACAGTAGACTCCCTCTATAACGAGAACTGAAATGACAGACTAATTACCTCGTTATAAGCCAATCTCGTTATATCAGACAATAATAATACAGTGCATACATATGAATATGTAGATTTCTAAATCATTAACTTCCTATAGTGAGGCCATTCGGAGCAATATAAGATACTAATAAATATTGTTTAAATGGCATTCTTGAAAAAAAGTTGTTTACTTTTATTGTTAATGATATACTTATGTTAAAACAAAAAATCATTTACATACTTACATTTTTTCCAACTACATAATGTATAAAGTTTATTTTGAAGGATAACATAAACTATTTTGACTGCTTTTTATTGTAAAGTATCATTATATCTATAATATTTTCTAAATACGTGAAACAGTTGTATTTATTGTACTTCTTGTGGGTGGCAGTTGAGTTTATTTTGAGGTCAGTTAAAAAGGGTATTTATTTATAACCACGGTCGGGTCAAAATATAAAAAACACGTTTTTCATACTTATTTTCTCTCATTATAACCAAATTTGCCTCGATTAAGAGGGTTATATTTCAATGGAAATTTCACGGGACATCTAATGTATCTTATTTTAAGCGAAACCTCGTAATAATCATGTTTGCTATAGAGGGAGTATACTGTATTTATATAAGATTAAATATCATATTATGGACATCATAGAATGGGCACCCACTAATAAGAGTAGAAATAATGTTTACTTACTACTTTCATATTACTGCTAAGTAATAAATTGGACAAAGATAAATCTCTATGTAAAATATTATAAGAATGAAGATACTTGATTCCTTCAACCACCTGTGTCATAATATTGCTGACTTCATTTTCTGACAAAGCCTGAAAATAAAATTTGCAATTGAAGAATATCAACTTAACAAAACCATATCAATATTTTAAAATTATTTTTGCATTTATACAATTCCATAGTTTAAATCTTAGTTTAGGGTATATCAATATTAATCTCCTTTGTACACATGTCCTGTCTTTTCTTGTTCGATGTGTCTTTGAGCTTCCTTTCCTACGCTTTGCAGAAACTTCAGAGATTCTTCATTATGGGTAATTATTATTTAAGCATTTAGTATGCCCTTCTCATATCATTTTTCGACTGTATAATATTCAATGCTGTTCATAGTAGTACAAAATTATTCTTATAGAATTTTCCTGTTGTTAAATAATCTCTCTTTAAATAAATTAACACCTTATGAACATTTCTTCTTTATTTCTATATTTTTCTACTAGCTAATATAATAAAAATTATAATTTCTTTACGAAATGATCAATGTCTATTTAAGGCTCTACTTTTAATGCTAGTTCAAACATAGCACCTTCAGCATTATCTCTAGAGCCAATTGTCCCTCTTGTATTTCTTCATAGCTGCTTTGGATTGACTCACATTTGCATTAAAATTTTTATTATTCTCTATTTCATTGGAATATGTCTCAGCATATCCCATCATTGTTTTAATAAAGATTTTCTTTCATTATCGCCTAGTTTGATGTGAGTAACATACAAACACTATATGAAATTTCTCTATTAAATACACATTTCACTATCCTATATCTAGTTATTATGACACTCAGCACAACTTTGTCAACACTTAACCAATACCATCAAAGTACATATTTTTCCCACCTACAAGATAAATTACTTTTGTTATCTATCACCGACCTTTTAGTCAAGTTCCCTATTCTTTGATAACATTTTAAGTTGTGTTTTTCATGTATATCCTTTGAATATATATTTTAAATTTTCTGGGTTCTGAAACCTCAATATCTCTTCCCTAAAGACTTATATTGTAATTTTACCAGTTCTATCTCCTTTTGATCTGAAAAAATTAACCAGAATATTTAATATTTAAAAAATTCTAAATTTTACACATTAACCCTATAAACATAGGCAATTTGGCAGTATAATACACTTGTAATCACATACAGACACACACTATAGTAAGATATATAGTGTGTATTGAATTTTTTTTATATCTTAAAAGGTGAAATATACCACTTAACATGTCAAAAGAATAATCAGACATTTATTTGGTCAGCAAATACAGAATGTTAAAATTTATATTCTATTTAAAGTGCTCTAAATAACCTAATCATATTCAAAAAAGTGTAAAATACAGTCCTTTGAAACATTGAAAAACCAAATATCCATTTTGTCAAACAATATACCTTGTACTGATGTTGTACTGCAAGGCTGTTTATACTTATATGGTTTATTTAAAACTACTCATCAACGGTTGACTCTTATTTTGAGAAATTGAAATTTGTTATTATACTGCATAATTACCAAACTATTATTTACCTATACCTTTTCTCTTAAATAATTTTGTAAATCTCCATTGGGGCACAGTTCCAAAACCAAATACACATAATCATTATCATCGAACCATTTATATAACTCCAAAATAGAACTGTGCTTTAATCTTAAATGTATCTCCACTTCTTGTATTACACGACTTATCATGTTTTTGGCCTTCATGTGTTTTTTATCGATCTAAAAGTATATAATGCATTAATGTTTGGAAGTGCACAATTTCAGAAGTTTACCATTTTGATAGCAACTTCTATGCCTGTTTTTAAACATCTTGCTCGGTGGACGGATGCAAATCCGCCTTTTCCCAATAAATTCTGTACTTGATAGTCCTAAAAATCATATTAAATAAATAAATGTTTATAGAATTGTATATAAACAACTAACCTCAATTCTGTTTCCTAGGGGTATCATTTTTACTTAATGCTTAAAACAATATTACACTGAAATAAATTACATATATGAATCTCTTCGGAATATAAGTGCTTACAATTTCTTTTTATGTATTATTTTAATTTATGATTTTGCTTCAAATAGAAGTTACACATAATTTTAAATTCCTTTCAACTGCTGACAGCATCGTCTTCTTCTCATACTTATTAATTGACCTACGCCCATCGAGCAATAAGACAAAAGAGGGAATCTAATCGTTATGAAAAGGAGACCAAAAAAGTGGCCTCTGATGGCGGGCATATCCGGAAATGCAAAGGCGCTAAATTTAAATTTTCCAACACTTGTTAACAATACCTGTAAAATATTTTTCAGACAAGAAAGTTTTAATTAAATATTAACGATAATAGTCTAAAAAGTGACACAATTGGTAAAAAAACTTCAATATTAATAAAATTTCATGTGACAGTTGGGACAAACAATAACATAACCAAACTAAATTTGACTTCTTAAACAAGGAAAGAGACAGTCTATCCTTGTCTAAAGTGGCCTCTCAAGATGGCACTTCCTGTCTATCAATATGTTTACCCCTTCTACCTTTACATTCCCTCTTTTGTCTTATTGCTCGATGCCTACGCCCTACGCCACCTGCCTACGCTAAGCTTCAAACTTTTAGCTTCAATGTCAACATTTCTTCTTTTTTAACGATTACGAAAACGTGTTTCCATGAAATCAATTGTCATATGTTTTTGACGTTTCTTGACGTCATGTTTTGGTAACATTTTGCGATTTATAGTTTTTGTTTATTATAGATTTAAATAGATTATAGATGGGTACATTGCTTACATTTGATTATTCTCATTAACATATGTATTTTCGTATAGTGTGTCGCAATTATATAATTATCAAAAAGTACGATTTATTTGGAAAACAAGTAAATCAAAACACCTATAATAGCAAAGATGCCTCATGAACATATTAAATACACAAACTCTGTATCTTCTGTAAATAATTCAGGTGCGCCTTACATTTATTTAATATAACTGTTAAACACGCATTGTATTTTGGTACAAACATATTGAATATTGGTATAATGGAGATTTAAAAAAATATTTTCTTAATTTCACTGCTGTGTAAGAAAGGATGTCCTTTGAATTACGTTATGTAAGTCCTGAAATACACATTTACTAGTTCTGTTCTAAGTTGGACATTATTACATGTATCACCAAATATTTCACAAGTGCAAAGAAAAAGGTATATTACTGAAACTGGTTTATACAGAACTTAAATAGGTGAAGGACAGTATAAGGGAGTAATGGAATTTGTGGAGTAGGGGTGAAGTTTGTATTACCTTTGAAGGGAATAGGTTTTTAATAAATGTGACCAGTGTTCATAATTTATTATACTGGAAAAAGAAGAATGAAATTAGAGAATACAACTGATCTGTCTTCAAAATGTTGAAATGTAATTCCTTTCTTTATTATTATTTATTATTATTTATTTATTTATTTATTTATATATGGCATCCATTTACTTACAATTTTTACAAAGTTACATCTTAAAAACAATATATTATTAAAATAACAATCACAAGTTTTACAAAGTAAAATAACACAAAGTAAGTAACAAAAGTAAATACAAAGTATTAAAATAACAAACACCTCAGAATAATACAAACATATAAGAATAATACAGATGTACAACCAACTTATTGTAAGATACTATTGCATATTTATACATCAGATCTTTTATATCTCATAAAAAGATTTGGTTCCAAAAGTTGCAGCATGAACTATAAAATAAGTATCTAAAGATGGTTTAGGGGTTGGCAAAACTTGTAAGAGTTTTTAGCACCAATAAAAAGATAAAATGTAGTATTTTGTTCAATCAGATGTTATATCTTTAGATCCATTTCTAGAAAAGGCAGAGATATATAAAAAGGACTATTTTCAAACCAGAGAAGAAAATACTTTAACCTTTTACAACCAGTAAAGATTGGTCAAACCAGAACAAAGGAATTCTCTTTAATAAATCATGTTTGCTTCATATATTAAATGAATTAATCCAATAATTGTATAAAAGTTACATTACTTCTTTTACTGGTTTTTAATTTTAGATGAAGAAGAAGATGTAGAAAGTAAGACTTCTCCAATGAGCTACAAAGAACGCAGGAGGGAAGCTCATACGCAGGCTGAACAAAAGAGACGTGATGCAATTAAAAAAGGGTATGATACATTGCAAGAACTGGTGCCAACATGCCAACAACCTGATGTTTCTGGTAAGATGGTATATATTTATATATCCTGTTATTATTAGAGCATCTTTACACTCTCCGTGTATAGAGCATCTGGTTTTTAAAAACAGTAATAACAACTTACATATATAACTGGCAATACATATACATATAACTGATAACAATACATATAACTGATGACCGTGACCAGTGGAGAAATATTATCAATCAAACTGTCCTAGCTGCTGAAGCCCAATTATGAACCACAACACATCTACTAAGATGTTAATGACTGTGATGATGATGAATAACAACTTTTTCAACTTATCCAAGTAATATACTCCATATGAGTAATAAATTTTAAAAATGTTTTAGACACAACAAAATTATATCTGTACATTTAATAATCAATGAAGAATCCCTCAAATCACTACAAATACTGGATCCTAGTGTATATAAAAATCTGAAGATTCAGAGAACTGAAATGGCTGACTAATTACCTCATTATAAGCCAATCTCATTATATCAGACAACAATAACACTGTGCATGCATATGAATATGTAGTTTTCTAAAACAATAACTTTCAATAGTGAAGCCATTCGGAGCAATATAAGATGCTAAATATTGTTTGAATGGAGTTTTTGAAAAAAAGTTGGTTACTTTTATTGTCATTGATATATGTTGAAACAAAAAAGAGTTGTTTACTTGTATTGCCAATGATATATGTTAAAAGAAAAAATCTGTACTTACATTTTTCCCAAGTATAGAATGTATGAAGCGTATTTTCAAGGATAACATATACTACTATTTATGACTGCTTTAAATTCATCGCAATTCAATGCAGTATCATTATATCTATCATATTTTCTAAAGATGTGAAATAATTGTATTCTTCTGCTTCTGCGTTGTCTTTGGATAAAGTTTTTCTACATCTTGTCTATTAGGACCTTCTTTCATAGATTCATCTCGATTGTCTTCTCTATCTTCATCACTTTCGTCACTGACATAATGCGCTCGGCCGGCGTATGTATGATTTCACTATCCGTCGAAAGATCACAAACAGTGACGTCATCATCAATGACAATGAATTCAGCAAACTCGTGATCATTGTTCAGTTGGGTTAGTTCTTGACCTTGCTGTTATAACGTCAACCACTCTGCTACAGGATATTCATCTTCTTTGTTTTCTACCTCGTCTCTGTCCACCCCACATGACTGAAACATTTTCTGATGTTTTTTTTATTTACGAGTGTCCATTATCTGCTTAACTAAAAGTTTTCTGTAGTGAAAGTTAAGGGACCTTATGATGCCCTGATCCATTGGTTGCAAAACAGATGTGCAATTTAGGGGTAAAATAAGAAGTTGAATGTTTTTAAACCGTTAACTTTTAGATGGGTTGTACAATTGTCAACAATTAAAAGAATCTTTCGATGTCCCAACTCTCTGTCCCGCTTCAAAAGTTCTCCACTAAAAATCTCTTCTGTCATCCACGATTTTTTATTAAATTTTTATGTGAAAATAAGCTGATTGATGTGGCGAACTTCCTTTTTTCCGAACCGGACATGTTGGCACACGCAAGTACAGTTGACCTTTTTTTGATAACTTGTCACCTATACAACATTTGTGAATTTGAGGGTCCTATCTGGAGTAAGTTTAAAAAAAAAGTCCCAGATCGTCGGCATTGAAAACATTATTGTCACTGTAATTTTGTCTTATTTATGCCATGACTTCAACCAGTTGTCAGTGGCTTCTTTGGAAACACTCTTCGCTTCACCACAAATTTTTCCATGCCTAATTTTGTACCTGGCCTTAAAACGGCTCATCCACCCACTCAATGCTTTAAAATTCTCATCACCACCTAATGCCTCCGAAAACTGTGGCTTTTTCTTGAAGCAGTTGTCCACTTATTGGAACATTCGCAGCCCTGTTTACGGTAAACCATTTGACCATTAGAGTATCGAGTTCTTTATTAGTTGCGGCACGTAGTTTTTTCGATTTACTGGAAAAAGACGAAACTACTTTGAAAATCTTGTGTTTATTTTTGATCATGGTAGATAGAGTGGAACTTGAAATTCCTTTTTCACGACAAACTTCTGCTTTCTTCTTACCGTTCTCAACATCTTTAAGGATGTTAATTTTTTCTTCTAAAGTAAATGCTTTTCTTTTAGGAGTCATAGTGTGTAATCTATGTGACTATGTAATCTACAACACAACTTTCAAGACACGGAAGCACAATCAGGAAACAAACATCAAAAATCAGGAAAAATGTTTCATTTGTCATGTTTTAAGCCTCTTTACGTAGTTTATTAGGTTTGAATGGTCAAACCCCTACACTGACACTTGTGAATCATGTAAATTTCCGACAACACAATATCGGTCGGTAGATGAAACAGAAGTTTATTGGGGGCGGCAGTTAAAAAGGGTATTTATTTATAGCCACGACCGGGACAAAAACGTAAAAAAACACGTTTTTCGATCCTATTTTCTCGTTATAACCAAATTTGCCTCGCTATAGAGGGTTTTAGTTAATTAGAAATTTCACGAGAAATCTAATGTGCCTCGTTATAAACGAAACCTCGTAATAACCGTGTTCGTTATAGAGGAAGTATACTGTATAAATTACCACCTTTGTCTAGTATTTCCGCCTACAGTGTCTTAAATGAGCAGGCCTTGTATTTAGGATGGAAGAAAACAGGTTTCTAAAAAAATTGTTGATCCAATTCCGAATATTTGGTAGTTTTTTCTAAAAATGTTTAATTTAAGTTTATATTTGATTACTTCATTTATTTATTTCTTATAGGTTACAAATTAAGTAAGGCTACTGTACTACAAAAATCCATAGACTATATACAGTATCTTCAAATGCAAAAGAAGAAGCAAGAAGAGGAACGAAATGCTTTAAGAAAAGAAGTAGTGGCATTAAGAATAATGCAGACAAATTATGAACAAATTGTTAAGGCACAACAAACTCAACCGGGTCACACAGAAACCAGAATTTCAGATGAAGTGAAATTTTCAGTGGTAAGACAATGTATTGATAAATCATTAGAATGTATTTAACATTCTTGGCAGACATGTAATATATTGAATAGACATAGAACCGGAATTCGATCTTTGAACTCTTCATGTAACCTTGCATCAAGTAGTATATGATTTCATTAATTTTGAGTCATTTTTGCCAGCCTTCTGGTCATAACATTTTACCCGGAAATGACATCAAAACCGGAACTAAAGGTCGACTTTTCGATACTAATCAATTAACATATCACATGTACTATTTCTGCCTCTATAATGTGGTATGTAATGTGTATGTTAAAACAGTATTTCAGGTTTTACAAATTTCTTACCTTTAATACCATCTCTTGGTTATTAGCTTTCATTTAACACCTCATTTGTCATTCTATTTGTTCTAATACCGGAGGAATTGTGGTTACGGACATACAGACAGACAGACATGGATATTTCAAAATTTTTAATTCAACAGTTTAATGTTGTAAAATGAGTGAAAACAATTAGACTCTTTACAAAGAAGACTAATACTATTTACATACCTATTTTAAATTTTCAGACAGTTTTGTATTTATAAATAATTCAGTTACTAAGTTTTTTGCCCTCCTGAAACTTTTGCTCTTTAAATGTGTATGCCTCTGAGTGATATACAAACCTTCTGCCTAGAAGCGTTTGTAAAATCGTCGCCTGAATGTATAAAAGCCTACTCAATACTTTTGGTACATAAATAACTATTTTTTTAGTTTCAAGCAATAATGGATGAGCTCTTTGCAACATTTAGTGGAGTTTCTGTAAATAATTTTTCTGAATTATCTGCCGGAGTGTTCAGTTGGTTGGAGGAATATTGTAAGCCTCAAACCCTCAAAGATACTGTATTCCAAGTTCTTCATAGACACAATTCACAAATGCGTGGATAGCAAAACTAGGTGAGTATATTAAACGTAAGCCATTAATTTTCTAGCATTTTGTCAAGAAAAAAGACAATATTAATACACTGACCGGCAAAAAAAGTGGCCACCCGATAAATTTCCGAAAATAAAAATTCATTGAAAGTTTTATGCACTCTTTCATATTGCAACTCAAATTAAATATTTTTTGAAATCTTGTACGCTTGTTTTTGACAGTTTCGTCGTTTATTGTTCCGGTCGTAGAAGCGTTACCCCGCAAAGAGATGATCGTTTTATTAAAATGGAACTTTTAAGAGATCGCCATTCCACTGCAATTGCTGAAGAAACCATCTGCAGGTTTAAAATGGGAAAGAAAGAGAGAGAACGGTTAGAAGACGCCTCAATGAAAGAGGGCTAGTGGCAAGAAGGCAGGCTAGTTCCCGAATTACAACCCAAACACTGTAGGAATCGATTAATTTTTTCTCGACATCATCAACACTGGGATATACAGGATTGAAGCTGAATTCTCTTAACTGATGGATCGTGGTTCTGTTTGAAGTCTGGCGATGGCCGAGAGAGGGTTTGGAGACGGAGAAATGAAAGATATGCCCAAGCTTGTATGTCCCAGAGAAGAAAGAACTTATTTTCATCAATGGTCCCCTTAATGCTGACTGGTATATAGAAAATGTTTTACAGAAGCAGTAGTTTCATTTGGTTATTTTATTGAGGGCAATTTCATCTTTATGCATAATAATGCACGGCCGCACACTACAACAAGAATTCTGACATATTACTTGGAGAAAGTGGGAATTAAGATTCTAGAACGGTTAGCTTGCAGCCTCGATCTGAATATACTCGAACATCTTTGGAATGATCTGCATTATAGGGTTATAAGTGAACCAGGCAAGCCAGAAAGTATTACAGAAATTCAAAACATGCTTCGCGAAAAATATGAACATATTCCTTAAGTTTTTATTCAAAATTTTTTCCTTTCCCTTCCAAATCATATGCAAACGGTTATTTATGTTTTAGGGCATAACATCCGATATTACACAATTTTAAGTTCACTCGTAATTTTTATTGTTTGTAATTTGTTTCGATATCACACTATTTTCTTTTGTAGCCTTCTAATTAAATAAATTATGCTAATAAATCAAACAGTAATGGCCACTTTTGTTTTAAAATTAAAAGATGTTGAGAATACAACATGAAACAGTGCATAAAACTTCCAATGAATTTTTATCTTTGGAAATTTATAGGGTGGCCACTTTCTTTGCCGCTCAGAAAAATAGTGATCATATTTATTATAAAGTTATACGATTCAAACAAATTAGACCTTTTCAACTTATTTAAAGTATTATCTAACCTTCTCCTAGCGACAACTAAATTATCTGAAATTAAAGGATGCTCATTCAACCAAGGTAACATAACTTCATACCTGCCTTCGTTGTCACATCGTACAGTCTCGAGGAAAAATTATTAGCCTCTTTGCCTGCCACCTCTCGTGCCATTTTTTCTACAGGGTCGATATATCCCAATAACATCAAGCTCCCAGAGTTTCGCTACAGAAGAATTATTACCAAACAACGAAAATGTAATTATACTTGTACTAAAATTAGAAGCAACTGCCGGCACCTTGCCCATAAGAGTCCAACCTAACAAAGTTTTAACGCTACAAGACCACACTGTAACTGATATTTTCTCCCTGTATACAATTTGCCTACAATATCAGCTCCAAACAAAATCTCAATCGGTGCTGTCTTTCCGACATCGCTGAGTGAAATATTCATGTCACTGAATTCCTCAATCCAAGGGCCGTCATAAATAGAAGAGACATCTGCACAAATTTGTGGTTGATCTAAGGCATCAAATGAACATGCGTAGGTTCCTTCACACGCAGTTACCTCGTAAAATTTATGTCATTGTTCAGAAGTGCTTCTACCGCCAAATAATTACAATTTCTTGCGCGGTACTTTGTAAAATATATGTCGTCTGCGATCCAGTGCCAATAAGTGCCCTCACTTAATTAGTACCATGTGCACTTCTTATGTTTATTCGCAGAGTTTGTAAAAAACCTGTGTATTTCAAATTAGCAAGCGTCTGATCCTCAGTTATATTTTCTTCCGAACGGGTAGTACTTGAAGTGGATGTATCAATTTTATTAACAGGAAAATTAGGGCACATCAAAACAGCATGTGATTTACAACATAATATACAATTCAAGCGTCCTCTACACTTTTTAGAAGAATGTCCTACTTTCAGACATCGAAAACAGGCTTTCTTTTGTGACAATGTTCGACGTTTCTGCTCCATAGTAAATTTTTGTGCTTTAAAACAATTTGTACTGTCATACTGCCCTTCACAAAATACACACCTGTAAACCTCATAATTTACTAACCCAGCAGCGGTCGCTAAAGGCTGTTCAGTTCCTTGCTTACATTTTTCTTGACAACGAGGTTAATCAATTTATATTTATTTTCAGTCGGTAAACCAAAACCTTCCGTTGCGAAATCAATTTTTTGTTCATTTTGAACTTCACTTTGTAAAAAGCTCATTAGCCCACTCAATTTTTGTTTTTAAAGTTGTATAGATATTTTGCATGGACACGGAAACATAAGACCTTAAAAACTGTGAAGATCTATGCCATAGTCGAATCATATCTCCTAGCAAACATGACTCAATAAGAGGATACAATATCACCGCATACTTGTCAGCAGATATGCCTAAGGTCTCAAGTGAACGAAGTTGACTTTCAATCATATCATAAAAAGCAGAAAATACTAGAAACTCGACTCAAAATTAACTTTAAGAGCTCTCTAATGTAAACTTATCTGGAGATCCTCTCTGCCAAACCTAGACTGCAAACTTTGAATAATTTTTGAGTAATTGTCGGCTACTGCAGGAAAACTCTCCACTAATCGTCTGGCCTTACTAGACTCTAGACGAAAAATATCTTAAAGTGGCTTCGATCAAAAGAATACCAAGGTAATGCCCATCTGTGATATATAAACAAACTGTAAAATGTGTTTATTATCAACTCAGCGATGTAAAAAAGATTGAAAATACTTTTTGGGTGTTTTAACGTATACGGAGTGATTTCTATATATACCAAAGAATTTATAACTAGAAACGTACATTTTGATTATATTATGTTATTAATTCTGCAATTTTTGATTTATATAAAACAAGAATAAGTAAATGTTTGTTTCTTTGGGGATTACTTTACATCTGAAGCATACAAAATATGCATATAAAAACACCTTAACACTGCCAAACCAAAATATTTTATTTCATGGTTGACATTTGCGGCTATGTTCATCTTGTACTTTCGGTAAACTCAACCCAACTAATTTTTTCCTGGACTAGGTTCAGTTTTTCCGCATCTTCTTCCCTTTCTATACATGATTACTGTGTTTTTTTTTCATGTTGACCTAACCCCAGTTTCTATATTCTTTTTTCCACAAGTTATATCTAATTTGATCATCTGCTTAATGTAATATGTATATGTATAAATTGTTTATACCTACTGGGGCATATACAGTATCTGTATAACTGTTGTACAAAAATAAGGCTATAAATAAGAAAACAAAAAAGATCATGAATGAAAGTATTTTTATCTAATTGAATTTATGATCGCCTAATGAAAGTGTTGTATTAATTTATTTATATACTATTCTTAATTTGTAGGTTAGGTATAATAATAAACTCTATTTTTTGTTTCAGTTATGGGTCTATTGTGTAATTAATTAATTCAGTGTATACTTAGTTAAGTTATATATTTTAATTTTTGTTGTTATTCAATTGATAGTTTATATTCCATCTTTTTAATATAATATGTAATTAAATAAATGTGTTTTGCATTTTTATTCCTATCGAAACGAAAAAGGCGATATTCATGAACATTTAAATGCGAGTACAATGAAGAACAATGACACATAACGCCTCTGATACCATATTTTTTTGCCACGACACAACGCGTCTATTGCCATTTTTCTACGTGGGAGAAACCGTAACACCACTTAATATCAGGGAAAATGATCATGATAAAAATGATGATGCATTAAAGACAGAGACTTCGACCGATGACAGATATGCAAATATTCATGAACTTTAGGGTTAATATCATCTAATAGTAAATTTAATTATTGTATAAACTAAGTAAGATGTTTAAAAATAATAATTATATGTATTTTATTAGTTATTGTTCATGCATTTTTTAATTTAAACCTGCTTAGAATAGATATATGATGACAAGAAACGAATTGATCGAGAGTAGTGAGTCGATGTGAATAACCGCTATTTTGTGACACTACCCGTGACGACGCCATCTTGTGGCACTAGTTCCGTGACGTTCCCATCAGAATTTTACTATAGAGAGAAAATAATACAATACAACAAAAATGGGTACTTACCAAAAGCCAGCTTTTTAAATTGATATTTAATCCAGATTTCATCGGAGATAAATGTTTGCAACTTTTCGTTGGGAGTCAAAAAATTCTCAAATTAAAGTTTTTTCGATGGATAACATAACAAACGTAAGTCTTTATTCCGATATTATATTCCTTAGAAACGTCTTAATCAATTTCAAAGTACAGAAACATCTTTCAGTTTCTGTCATTGGCATTGTTATTGAAATAATGAAAACTTTACTTATTTCACAAAATGTAGAATCCAAACCATACGACAATATTAAATTTAAAGTACATAAGCAACCGATTACATTTTCTTGTGTTATTTCTCGCCGCAACTAAAATATTGTCAATTTCAGGGTATATTTTACAATCATTGAAAATGCATTGCACGAGATATCAGTGATTTCTAAAGGTACTTCCTTTCTATAATGTTCATAATTTTCTGTTTGAAACAACTTTGCACCAGATAGATGATTTTTAAAAGCAAAACGATCCTTAATTTGAAATATTACATTGTCACAAGTTTTTCTCGGATTTCAACGGATCACGTGACCCGTTATTTTACTTAACACGTCCAACACTACTGCGAAACAAAACGAGACCCTCTACAAATATCCTCAAAAAATTGATATTGAAAATTTTTCGATAATATTAAGCTTCGTCGAATCAACAGCACAGCCGAGTACCTTTACCTGGTTATTAACGCGATAGTTTTTGCCCTGTAAAAAAAAAATTTTTGCGAAACTTTTGGGTCCTAAAAAACATTTGTAGTTTCATCAGTCTCGTGCTGGTCGTCATTAACAACACAAAATGAGAAGAGGACAGGGGAAAAATATACACCTGGAAGTATTATGAAGATTTTCTTTGTAAAAAAAGTTTCTGTTTTCATCACTAATTTGTCAATTAGTTGCCCCATTGGAGAATTTTTTTTCATGGTCGCTGTAATTACCAGCATTTTTGTAAGGAGACAGATGAATTATTCGCCAACGAGCTAGCGCTGGTGAAATATTCACGCCAGTTACTTGTATTTTTGTTAGAATCTTGTTCCGTTTTGCAACATACTTTCCTTTTTTTTCATCGGAACAAGTCAAAATATTCATCCTTTTATATTGTCTTATTAAAGTAGTTAAAATAGTAATAAGTTTTTGTTTCTAACGTTTTCCTTGATCAAAGCTGCTACTCCTATTCTATTATCCCAATAAAGTATTGGAAATTATTGCTTTTCTATAGTAAGTATAGTAAATTAATTAGAATATTAAAAAAGCAAGGGAATGCAGAGTGCTTATAGTGTAGTCTCTGCTACTATTGGTGTGGCGAATTAAACAATGAACTATTACGAGAACTAATAGTAATTAAATTAACACCAACTATATTTCCTTCGATAGCCCTGGCAAGATGAATGAACTTTAACTCATAGGTGCAAATAATTATCAAAAATTAAATGGTTGCAATAAACAATCAAAAACAATTTATAGGTTCAGGTAAAACTAGGTACACTTACCGCTAATTGAATCTAATTACCACTACTTTATAAAACAACGAACAAAAAGAATTTAATATGAGTGCATTGGTTCACTATCGGGTTGCGTCTATCCCTCTGAACGACTCACGCTCTTGTGTCTTAGCAAGATGCATTCTCCGTGCCCGAGCGGTACTATAGGGATCGTAGGAATACAGAGAGGACAAATGTATTGATTAGTTTACACAACCATATTTGAATTTAAGCTATTGGATTTTCGTTGCCAATAGGAGTGTTTTTTCAAAATATGTTAGATTCGGTGGCACTACACTTCTGAAGGAATCTATTATTAGCTTAAATGGACGAGGGTCAGGTTTAGAATTGAAACAACATGCAACAAAATATATAGTATAATCTTAAAATCGAATTATATAACAGGATACTCATTAGCAATAGAAGTAAAATTTATCAAAGAACAACTAGTATTATTTCTTGTATCGCAGAGGATTGATTTGACCATGTTAGTAAAAAATATGGCGTATTGCGGTTTCTCGGTGTATCGTTCGTAATGATCTAACGCATCTTGTAGCTTAAGCGTCAGACTATCGTAATTTTTCTTTACTATCTCTAAAATTTGTTCCTCACTAGGTGTGGATAAATTTGCGGAAGCTAACCATTGCTCAATTTTTGGATTGAAATGTTTTATGATTGCTCTTACGTTAAAAAGCGTATTATTGAGTTTGAGGGCGTCTTCTTTGAAGTCGCCATCCCCACTGGAGTATCTTAAAGCTGAAAGAGAAAAAGACTGACATTTATAATTAGCAAATTAACATAAAACAGAAGTGAAAGGTTCTAGGACATAAGCAATTGGTTTGTCCATTGTGATAAACTCTTTTTCTAGAGACCAGGAAGGTTTCCTTATAGGAGACCAGGCAGAAGAAGCGTTCTGGAGACTTTGTAAATGCACGTATACATTTACCTTCAGATCAGAGGCTAATCTAGCAAATTAAAACGTTTTTTAAAGCAAAAATTGTCATTTTAGACATCAGGCCACCGAACAACTTAGGCCAAAAACTTTTCACTCGACTCACATGTATCTCTCTTGTTTACATTATAACTATCAATTTATTATTCTGTTATTGTACTGCTTTGACATTTTATTACACAAACAGATGTTTTCTTCACCTTCTTGGTTCTATATATTAAAGTATTTCCTCCCAGATTTTCCCTGGATTTCTGTGCTAACTCGATTTCTCACACTTTTTAAAAAGGTAGTGATGCGTATTACAATGTGTTGCTTTCTGATAACACCTCTACTCAATTCCTATCCTCACTTCCAAGAAGTGTGGCTTAACCAAACAGGTGAACCCTGTTAAACTTGGGCAATTTTATCTGAGATTTAATAAAAAAACCCCAGACCACAGTACAAGACAGGCTCAGGGCCGACGAGTAAAGGGATAATAGTTGCTTTTACAACTAGTAATTTAATCAGTCAAAAATGTTAAAAATTCACGTGTAATGTTGTGTAAACGAATCCTAAGGCGCATACAATAGTTTCGTTCGCGGTACGAGTAATGGACGCGTTCAGGATCAGTTCAGAATGTCCTTAATAATCGGGTTGTAAGCAAGCGCGGTTCATAATCAATTCAGGATTGATTTACACCGCGAACGCATTTCGGACAACCTTCAAATCAGTCTTTAGTGCCTGGTTTGTTTTATTTTACAGCTTAGCCTGATTTGTCGAAGAACTTTTTTGTAGATAATAATTTAATTTTTGGATAATTGTATGCCCTATAACTGTTTGTATTGTTTGGTAAATTCTATTTTGTCTCTCACCTTCGGGTGCGCAGTGGGTTTATACATTTATAAAGAAACAACTATCTAACGCTTAAACAATAAACTGTTTTAATTATTTTACTTCCTGACTACTTAATTATGTCAGAATATAGTGCAAAACTTAGTACTTACCCATAGAATAAATATTATCAAAGACTTGATGCATCCTGATAACTTCATAGTACAGCTCATCGTAACTACCGGGCGTCGGTAGAAAATTGTCTCCGTACGTAATAAAAAAGTTCAATATGTTGACGATTTTAATCGAAAGATCGAAGATATTGATCTTTTTACCTAAATAATTCTCATTTTGTAAAATAAATCTAAGCAAGGCAATTAAGGCTGACCAAAGATCCTTCCAAGAATAGTTTAGTCTTACGCGGCATTTTTTCTGATAACAAAGTATTCTTTGGACGACTCCGGTACAAAGAAGATAGAGTTCCATAGGAAATTTTTTCATCATATGACTAAGGATGAATTCCACTAGTAGATCTAAAAGATAATATAAGATATTAAAATTATGTGAAACTAAGAATAAACGACAACATAAAATTCCAACCCTTTCTCTTGCATGCGAAACACTTAAAATCGTATCAAGTTTTCTTTGTATAGCTCTCTGATGTATCAGGTTGTTGAGTCTTTCTCCTGCTTTGTTTATTTCCAGGATTTTCCATTCTAATTCATTGTTGAACATCTTCAAGTAGGAGAGTGAAAGGTTTATAGGATACTACATCCCCTTTACTTACTCCTCTTTGTATCATAACTTCTTCTGTTAGTTCATATAGCTGTGTTCTTAAGGTTAGGATCTTTTTAATTAAATTTATATATCGTCGATCTATTTTGGCGTTTCGTATTCGCAGAAATTATTGAGTTTGTTTCAATAGTGTCAAATGCCTTCTTAGATTCTCTTTTGCCTCTTTTTTTTTCAGATTCATCCTTAGTCCGTATTTATGACAGCATTCATTAAGACGTTACATTACGTTCTGTAAATCATTGTTGTTATCCTTCATTATTACTGTATCGTCTGCAAAACGCAAGTTATTCAAAACTTCTCCATTGATACATAAACCTTCTATTGAATCTGAGTGCTAAAGTTTCATATCACGACTGTCAATATTTTTGCTTTTTATTATTTCTACAAGCTTTTTATGTTGAACCTTATCAAATGCCTTTTCACAAATCTACAAAACCTCAGTACATATTCTGATGCATATCCATGCATCTCTGGGCCAGCACATTCAGGCCAAACAAAGCATCTCTTGTGCCCATACCATTCCTAAAGCCAAATTGTGTGTCACTAATCTCATATTCACAGCGACTAAGATGGGCAGGCCACGTACACAGACTGCGTAACGAGATACTTGTAAAACTGGTATGGGAGGAGATTCCCACAGGCAAAAGACACCCGGACGTCCCAGAATGAGATAACATCCAAGCAGATCTCCGGAAAATGAACATTCCATTTGACCATAGGTTGATGGAAGACCGAACAAATTGGAAAAAAGTTGTACCAGTCAGCCAAGACCCACCCAGGGTTGTAGCGCTACGTGATGATGATGAATTTCATATTAAAGAATTTTTACAATTGTGTATTATTTCCAAAAACGTTTTTAAGTGTGTGACTCATTAAAGCTCTTGTTCTGTGATCTGAGCAGGATATTGCACTTGACTTTTTGGGTATTGCCACAAAGGTCGATTGCAGCGATTTTCTGGGTATTGTGACAGTCTGATATATTAGATTAAAGAGTTTGTTTTTTCTATTATTTGTTAAATGTGTAGGTGTTTTGTTGTACTAAATTTTGTAGTAGAAGTTGTTTAGTTTTTAAGGAGAGTGCTACTCTTTTGATGGATAGTAGTTCTATTTGCTGCTTCAGTAAATTTAATTCTTATTCATATCTTTAAGTTATTATCTATGTATCTTCTTTTCGTGCTTGGTTTCTAACCCATTTTAATTTTATTGTGGACAAAAGAGATTAATGTTCTTCAAAACACTGACTATTGTCTAAATATGTCTCTGATGTTGAAATATATGTTGATGTTAATATCACACCTAAACCCTGTCACAAATGAGGTGTTCTGATACTACACGTCCCGTTCTTTTTTATTAAAGCATAAAAACTCTCACGGCCATGGTTTATCGGGACAGGGTGTATTCGTGAGCCCTATATACACTTTGACCTCCTAAAGCCGGTCCATTGTATCGCCCTTTGGATCCAGACTAAGCCCAGGATCTGGTCCTCATGGGACTCTCACAACTGTTGTTCTCAGCAAGTTATGTTGAACAATTAGAATCGCAAAGAAATATGTACTTCAAATTTAAAGGACGCAATGGCTAAGGTAGTTCCTTCCTACAAGTACCTTAGCCATGCACAGAAGGCAAATTTGGATATTAATTTTTTTCTTCTTTGAATACGTGACATAAAACAAGCCTCATGTACATGATCAGTAGCTTCTTTTTTTCTTCAAATCATAGTACATAGAATATTTGTTTTGAGCTAAATGTATATAATAAATTTATGTGACAATTCACTTTTTTTTTAATTTTACAATCTTCTTCACTTATCTCCGTTTTTAAGTTTTCATCATTGATATTTGAATCTTAGATACAGCTGCATGTAACAGTTGATTAAAGTTATAAGCAAACCATTCTCTTAATTTTTCATCGAAGACATTTTTCTTCTCCTTATACTTATTCTTTCTAACATTTTTCTCTGGATTGTTTCGTAGAAGTTATCTCAACGCATATCATATCCAAAATATTGAAGTTTTCGACTTTTCATGGCAAGCAATAATTCTTTTTTGTTAATCATTCTTCCTCTGAGTTTGTTATTTTATCAGTCCAGGTTATTTTTAATATATAGTTCCATAATATAATAAATAATACTTCCATGTTATTGCAGCAGTAATTATTGATGGTCCACGTCTCCACACCATATGCTAGTTCCACCACTCCCTTGCCTTACCTCTCTTTCTATGTTGGTTTCTTCTGTCGATCTTTCTTCAATTTGTACTGAAGCTCTTTGGTTGTAGTAAAGGTTGGTAATTATCCATATGTCTTTGGAATCTATGTTTTTATATTTAAGAAGTTGTATAAATTGCTCATGTCTCACTTTGTCGAATGCTTTGTTGTAATCAATATAACATCTTTGTCTACATCTAGGCATCGTTGTGTCAACATTTTACAATAATTAATGTATACTGCTAGTTATATAGTTCATAAAAAAACGAACAGTTCTTTACCTAAAAGAGTGCAGATCAAAGGCTGACTGGAAGTCGTTTTATCAGCAGAAAGTTTACGGTGTCGCATTGGAAAACGGTGCAGTCTTACTTTGAAAGCTAAAGTTACGTCATGCATTAACGAATTGGCATATTGATCTTCCGTTATACAACTAAGGATAAGGAAACATAATTTCACAGTATTTGTTCCTGCTTCAGTCTTTGTATCTTGCATCACTATTGAGCTAGAACAAAATATTACGTTATTATTTTAGATTGAATGTGTTTCTACGTGATAAGATTGCATTTCATTTCAATTTGAATTCCATCATTGTTCTTTCTATATGTGTTTTAAGTTATATCAACACTCATCAGAAACATTTGTGGGCCTTGTGGCAGTTCAATCTGAAATGAAATGCAGTCTAGTATTTGGCCATTATAATAAAAATAACATGCCTGATAAGCTAGCAGTGACATCTTTACGGGAGAACTCTCTTCGATAGCGAATTAGGTGAACCGCAAATTCAAAGCCTCTTACGAAAGGTTATTGAATGATAATAGGAATAACCTTTTATTCCGACATTCATCTACAGTTCACATGCAGCAAAAGATTGCTTTTACTGCCGTTTGTTTGTGGAGTTGATTGGCACGGTTGCCGCGAATAAGCCGCTAACTGGTTAAGGAAATTGATTTTTCGACATTATATACTTACATTTTTTACACTTTTTCTGTGCAAACATATTGTCTTTTTTATTAAGAATGTGTGCACCATAAATATGCTCCAAACAGTCAGACTATCAGCAAAAAACTTTAGATTTTAGGTTTTACAAAGATTGCAGTCTTAATAATTATAATATGTTGTGACTTTTTGGTATTCCCAAAACTAAAAATGTCACTTAAATCGCAACATATTGACGACATATAGAAAGGAGGCGAAGCCAGATCAGTAATGCACAGATTAATCCACAGTCAGCGACATATAAGCCAGATGCATGGTGCTGACAACAGAAAGCTAATCGAGGAGCTAAAAGCTGATATTATAAGGGGGCAACCTATCGATGCAACAGCTACGAGATATAGCTTTAACAATAAGTTCACAGTTAAGATACCAGGCAGGGAAGAATGGAATAAAGTGTACCCATACAAGCGGCCGCTACCTGGTACACGGATGGCTCAAAAACATCGGAGGGTATGGGAGCCGGCCATGGATGTATAAAAAAAGATAAAATCTTCATTTATACGTCCGTGGAGCCGGCATAGTAGAGACAAATCAAGGGATAAATTTCCCGGTAAGTCTATCTAAGGATGTGACAGTTTTCCAGACGGAAATAACGGCAATCCATCACGGCGTGGAAGAAATAGAAAAGCAGGAAAGAACGTTCTGTTCAATTGCCATCTTCACAGACAGTCAGGCAGCGCTTAAGGCACTCACTTCTGTAGAGGTCAATTCATAAGCTAGTATGGGATTGTGTGCGTGCCCTAAATAAACTAGGAGACCGTAGCAAGGTTACGGTAACCTGGATACCGGGGCACGAGGATCATAAGGGCAATAAAAAAGCAGATGAAATGCCAAACAAGGCTCATTAATGCCATTCATTGGACCGGAACCCTTCTGCGGCGTTACAAAATCAGTAACAAGAACGGCTACAAGGAAGTGGGTAGCTCACAAATCTCTAGAACGGTGGAGAAATTCACAAAATTTACGGTAGATCTAATAGCAAAGACCAGAAAACAGTCAAAGCCATAGTAGGTCTTCTAACAGGGCACTGTAAGCTGAATTGGCACTTGAAGCTGATGGGATTATCAGATTATGACCTGTGCAGATTCTGTAATCTCGAAGAAGAAACAGCAGAGCACATTTTATGTCAGTGTGAAAGTCTGAGTTATGTTCGGTTCTTTACATTAGAAGAAAATCCACCGCCAAATCGCTACATGGAAGGTACAGTCTCGAAGCTATCAGACTTTATAAAAAGGGTCAGGTTAAAGAATGTTATCTAGGACTAGAGGACTACAATAGATCTGAAAAGGTCGCAGTGGAATAGGCCAAAAAGCCACCTCCCTAAATCTATCTATCTAATAGAAAGGAAGGCGAGGATAGCATTTAAGGCTATTACAAAAACTGAATTACACAATTTCTTCAGTTACTTAAAGCACTGTATTATTGTCAAAAGGTGATTACTTCAAAGGATGCCGCGGGTGGGATGGCGAAGAATACAGCATTGTGTGTTAAGGGACAATCTTTTTACATTATAAGAAAGAATGTGGAATATATGATGCACTAGAAACCAGATACAGGTTGTCAAAATTAGAAATTACTTTGAAAATCCCACAATTGGCACGCCCACTTGATGCGCAGCAGAGTTACCAGATATTATCTTAGTAGGAGAAATAAACTCGTCTTATTAACTAGGTTTAAAAATCACATAGTTGAGACTCAGCGTTCATCCATCTCTTTCTCTCCGAATACTTCGTCTGCTTTCTGCACAGATGGGCAAAGGTTCGAAAGTCATTCCTAATCTTGACGAGTAATACGATATATCACGTCTATATATTAAGTCTTAAACGATGGGAAGGCCCAATAAGCTCCTGATTTTGTTTTTTAAGGAAAATGAGCATGTAATGGAAATCTTAAATAAATTTCACTAGATAACATTGGCCACTAACAGTTGAAAATATATCTATATAATATAATAAAATAAATATAATTGACATATTAGAAATATTGTATTTTATTAAAATTTTATTTTGGCATGAATTTTACTTACCAATACTGAAAAAATGTAACTAACAAATTAGAAGGCTGAGTTGTAATGTCAAAAGTAGCTGGTGCAGTTGATAAATCTGGAACACCTTGTACGTTACTTAAAGTATTATTGGGAGATGGAGGGGAGCTTGAATCAGTCTGAGTTTGCGCTAACGTTGTAATAAAATTTCTATTTAAATGAACTGCCTCGTAAAACGCCAATAAAAGTGCATTATTGGCACGCATCTGTTGCATTCTAAAACCTACAGAAAACATACAATTACTTTGGTTAACACCAAAAATAACAATAAACTGAAAACAAAATAAGTAAATCAAAAAATAAATGAGGCTGACAAGATTGATTATTCTTTTAGCTTAAATTAAAATGACAGCTACATAAATTAGGGATCTGATATAACAATTCTGCTCAATCTCTATCACATATCATTCAAGGTTCATGAGTAGTGACAGATTAAATTTAGATTTTGATTTTAATGCTGTTAATTGGTATCATAGAGTACTAAATTCCTTGAAAAGAGAAATTTCTACTTCAGTTTGGTATGTTATATAGACAATTCAGATTTTCTTCAAATGAAAAAACAAAGCCTTCTAGAACAATCTGAAAAATTCTACATAATTTAGAACTGTAATGGAATCTTCCAGAAAAATGTATCTAAAACAATGGTAGACATTCCTGCATCAGAAAAAATTAAACAAACAAGGCTTGTGCAACTTGCCAGAAATATTTATCAAACATCAATTTAGCTGTTGAATCATGTCCATCATATACCTAATAAATAGGTTCATGTTTTAATAATCATCCCAATGTCCCTTTCAAAGCCAAATATTTTGCACTACATTTGATCTGAATCAAAATACTGTAAAGAATGTTTAGAAAATAAGATACCTATAGTGGCCATCCTGTGAATGGAACATACAATCAAATTGGTCAGTAGTCAGTGGCGGCTCGTGACATCTGCTATAGGGTGTGCTGCATGAACCACGGTCAATATAAAATAATAGAAATAGAATAACATACGAAAACAAAAACAATAAAATTAGCTTTAATACTAATTAATAGTAACTAATAACGACATGCTATAAAAATCTGATTAACTTACATTTATTGCATTTTTCTAAATTGGAAATTAATACGCCGGTCCTTTTTTGTCGCAAACTTTTCGATTACTTTATCGTTAAAGTTCGGTATTGAAGCGATGAACTTTTTTTCTATCGAGAGTGTGGAAAGGGCTGTTAATCTGTCTTCGCACATTGAATTTCTTAAAAATGTTTTGATCCGTTTTAAAGTTGAAAAACTACGTTCAGCTTCTGCTGTGGTCATTGGCGTAGTCACCAGAATTTGTATCAACTTTTTGGTTTCTGTTAATGTGTCCTCTAAATTATTAGAAATTATAAATTTTAGTAAAGGCACTGCACCTTTTAATGTTCTACACTCGATATTGGAATACAAAACTGACAGTTCTGTTCGCAAACGGTTTTTATCAAAGAAGTTATAAGCTGTACAAGTTAAATCCAATTCATTTTCAGGAAACTTATTATTATATTTTTCGAAATGTTCTGAAGATAAAAGTGTTGCGGCAACTAGATGATTTGTATATGCAAACCGTTCTTTTGCATTGTTTATAATAACATCACAAACTTCTAGACAGGCAATACGGTGATCCTGTTGGCTGTTATTTGGGCGTTTCCTTTTTTGGACACTAGGCGCCGCATTTAAATTTGAAGCTTGATGTATGATAGGGTTTATTTTATTTCGGACATTGTTAATACTTTGCTCAAAAACATGTATAGCTTTCTGTGCTTCGGTTGGGTCCATGTTCTTTTTTTGAAGATTATTGTACAAAACGTCAACATGTGGCATAATATAATGAAAAACAGTCAGCCAGAAAGTAAAATTTTGATCTTCCAGAATACGTCTAAGTCCTCTTGCTTCCTTGGAAGTAATAGCATTTGACTCTTCTTCTAGTTGCTCCATACACTCAATAATAAAGTCTCTATATTCGTAAACGACATTTACTGTACGAATATTGAAATTCCAGCGTGTAGGGATTGAACGAGGAATATTTTTTCCAACTATTTGATTTAAGACAGCTATTCTTTGAGGTGAATGACTAAAAAATCCAGGTATATCATGTAAATCTCCAAAAAATACGCGTACTTGGGAATTAATAGAACATGCTCTTGACATTATTAGATTCAATTGATGGGCGTAACAGTGCACAAAATGAGCAGTTTCATATTTTCTCTTAATTATTGTTTGCACTCCGCCATGTATCCCACTCATAACAGCTGCTCCGTCATAACTTTGTGCAATGAGCTTATTTTTGTTATTCTTTAATATTGGGTCTAAAACATTCAAAATTGTGTTAGCTAAGGTTTCAGCATCATGTTTTTCTGGAAGCAAAAAAGTCCAAAACCTTTCAACTGGAGCACCGTTTTTTACATAACGAAAAACAATGACCATTTGAAATTTCATAGAAACATCCGTTGTCTCATCAGCTATCACTGCTAAAAATGGGGCTTCATTGATTTCGTTTAAAATCTCCTCAGCGTATACTTCTAGCATGCAATCCAAAATATCATTTTGTATTGTTTTTGAGGTACCTTTGAAAATTGTCGCATTTGTAAGGTGTTCACTAAGTGTTTTATCAAGTTCAGCAGAAAAATTCACTAAACCACGAAAAATTCCAGGGTTATCTGATGTTTCAGATTCATCGTGTCCTCGTAAGGCGAGCTCAAAAGCCCCACAGAATTTTATACAGTCAATTATTTTTGACAAAACATACCTGTTTTTCGTCACCTCTTCATTGTGTTTTTGTATATTTATCCAATAAGCAGAGTCAAGTTGGGCCTGTATATTAAGTTTCCCAAATAATGCAAATCGCATTTCATTGTTCATATGAGTTTGCGTGTTTTCATGCTTCTTTATTTTTTCACTTAAATGCACTAGATCCCGCACTCCTGTCTCGCGCCACAATTTTTCCTCTTTATCTGCGCCGAATAATGCACACGGAAAACAGAAAAAAGCATTTTTTTCGGAACATCCACAAATCCACTGATTTCGTAGATACATGTCTTTATTAAATTTACGCGTATATGTTTTTTCCACGGCTTTTACCGGACACTTCAATATTAAGATCAGGCATAGGACGGCCACGTTCTTTTATAATCAACTGTTGTTGATAGTGAAGTTTTTGAAATTTATTTACACCTAATTTAAATTGAAACTCCATTGTTTTAAACACGCTCGAACAAAACAAATTAAACAAAATTGTAACCTAAGAATTTCTAAACACGGCACAGATGCAACGGTCACGAATAACTGTCGTGAATTGCAGCTCGCAAACACATTTCCGAGGCCGTTAATCAGCCGATTGCCGAAGCACATCGGCTAAGATCGCCGTTTGCCTAATAAATGCATTTTACCGCTGCCAGTGTTTCGGTTGTTATCGACGCGGCTTCACTGGAGCAGCAAATACGTAAAAAGATTGCTTCACTGGAGCACCAAATACGTAAAAAAATTATACGGTTTCACTAGAGGAGTAAATACGTAAAAAAAATAATATTAATCATCGTTGTTGGTGAATTATTATTAACAGTTTATGTTTAATATGATAATATGGCAGATTTGAAATAAAACTATATTAATTATTCTTTAATAATTAAGATTTGCTATGGTTGTTTGGTAGTTCTGCAGCTCAGCAGCACATAAAGAAAAGCCGCCACTATCAGTAGTTTTATCTTGAAGATAAATGGGAATTTTGCTGCCAAGAGTGCCAACAAAATAACACTATTGCAATAACAGTTGCAGGAGAAAATCTGCTGAAAGGAGGAGATAATATATGACTTGCAGTATTAAAAAACTTTCACCATATAAGAAGGAACATTCAACATTTTACATTGGAAGATTAAAATTTTAGCACTGCAACCTAAGTAGGCTGTTTATTTATTTATTTAATACACGGGTAAGCCCATTAACAGTTTAAATTACAATACAATATCATAGTTAGGATTCAAAACTTAAAATTACTTTAATTAAAATTAATAACAGGTTTGGACAATCAATAAATCCATGCATGATCTTATATATAAATATAGCTCCTGACATATCGCGACGGTTCTTGAGTGAGGCCAAAGATAATTGTTGTTCGGTATGGGAATAATCATGATTTTCAAAAGTAGTGTGGACGTGGTAAGCACAATATCTCAAATATTTTAGCTGGACTCTTTCTATGGTATCAATATTGTTCTGAGAATAGGTTGATCAAATAACTGAACAGTATTCCAAAATAGTTCTAACTAAGCAACAATACACTAATCTTGTTGAATTAATGGAGAAATACTTGCAATTCCTAGTAATGAAACCAAGAAGTTTAGATGTCTTTATTGAAATAGAGTTTATGTAGTCACAGAAAGTAAGCTTCTCATCGAAAATAACACCCAAATCCTGAATAGAAGAAACATGATTCAATGGCTGATTATTAATAGAATATCTTGTTCCAATTCTATTGACTTTATGAGAAAAACTTTTAAAACAACATTTTTTTTACATTTAAGAGGAGTTTGTTCTGATTGCACCAATTTTGTAGTTAGTCTAAGTCATCTTGTAGTAAGGTTTGATCTTTTAAGCCATCTATAACTTTCCAAAATTTCAACTTATCTGCCAACATTAGACATTTGCTATTTAGGAAACAGGAAGTGATGACGTTAATGAAGATTTTAAAAAGAAGTGGAGAAGTGTGGCCTCCTTAAGGAACTCCAGGTGTTACTGAGATACTGTCAGACAGATGAGAACCTATCTTGATTCTTTGACTTTTCCCAGATGTAGAATTTTTAATCCATTCAACAAACCTGACATGAAAGCCTACATTAATTAATTTGCCCAAAAGTATTTGGTGATCTACATGATCAAATGCTTTGGAAAAATCTGTGTATATTGCCCATTGACATTTCTTCTTCTTCTCTTTCTCTTTCTCTTCTTTCCATTAAGAAGGAAACACATAGGTTTCCAGAGATCTATTAAACAATATAACAAATGGTATTACAAAGGTACAGACACTTTTTTAATAAAAAATTAGGCACTCCATCTGGACCAGCAGTACGGACTACCCATCTATAGATGTCTGGTCAAATATGCAAGTCTGTAAATGCAAATTTTAAACTTAGTAATTTGAAAAACTTATTTAAAAACAATGGTAGAGACTTGCTTTCTTTACCGGATACAGAACCAAAGTTATAGGCATGTTCTATAACAAGGTTCCCAGATTCTCGGCGTTATTTAATTATGCTATCTAGTGCTCTACCTACAACTATGTAAATAATTTCCAGATTTTTTCAGGGCAAATTTTGTTATAAAACTTTTTATTTTGGTTATGTATTATAATCTATTCTCCAGATATGCTTGAGAGCCATTCTTAATAGGCCACCTAGTGTTTTTTTAGTTTTCTGAACAGTATGGCATACCCCATATTCTGTTCATTTATTAACTGTATAAAATAACTAAAATTAGCAATGAGGCACTAGATTGAAGAATTTGTTATTCCCTATCCAATACTAGATTCGCAAGTATACAATATCACACAATAGATCACTTTACTATATTATATCCTCACATTTTTCATCCTATACTCTCAAACCTCAGCAGTAAACCATATTTTTATTTTAAATAGTTTAGTCAACTATACTGTATCTAAAATTGTACACCTACATTTTACTTATTCTAAAATCTCTTCACTCATAGAATATGATGTTTCTGAATAAAAAACTTATTGACTGATGGTTATGTATTAGACTTACCTCCTTCCTCTGATATGAACATATTGCCAACAATATTTGTAAGTGATGAGAACCACGAGGCACTCTGATTTTCAGTATGTTCTGCATTATACTGGTTACAGAAGTCTGATAAGGAAGATGTTATCACTTGTCCATAACCGTTTAATGCTAGTTCATCATCCAAAATTGATAGTTTCACTACATAAGGGTTTGTTGCATCATATTTCCTGTAGTTAACCAGTAGAGTAATGATCAAAACTACATCGTAGCCATGCCTTTGCCTTGTAGGAACATCACATAGTAATTTTACAAGACACTCGAAGAGAGGTGATATCATAATATATTCTATTAAAGTATTTTGATTTATGGAGTCAAGGCCTGTTGTTACAATAAGAATAACCTTAAGGCATAGTGCTTTGACAGCCTCAGTTGATTCTCCTAAAAATCAATATAAAAGTTTAATAAGTATTGTAATATTTATTTTTGTTCATCAATATTTGTTTAATAACATCTTATAGAGGCAGCAGAAATGATAATTTATAATACAATGTCCCAAAGTTATCCGAACTTTGTACATACCTTTATTCCAATAAGAAATACTTTTGACATATAACACCTTATTACTTATAAAGCCTTCTTTAAATGAAAAGAAAAAGGAGAATAATCATGAAGATAGGGAACATCCATAAACTATGTTATAAAAAATGTTGACTTTTTAATACCCCCCCCCCTTCCTCATACAGCCACTTGTGTAAGCCACAAGTGTGGCTTACAGTCGAGGTCCACTGTCATGTCGATATCATAATTACAACTCATGAACACCTTTTTCAGTCATTTTTTAAAAAATTCAATGTTATTTCTGAATTTTTAAAAATTACCTATAAAACTGTATTTACGAATATATCATAAAGGATAGTAAAAAATTATATTCAAAGAGACAATAGTGGCAAATTGAAATACACCAAACGACATATGGTGGTGAGGTATGGTGCAGTCATACCCCACTCTTCCAATCCTAAGTATCAAAGTCCCCTCTCCCCCTTCGCTAAGACATAGTTTATTGATGTTCCCTACTGGGGGTTTATATTCACTAATTTTGATTAAAAACTTTTTATTTGTAAACACTAATCTATAAATGACTAAAAAATTCAAAAATAAACACTTAAATCTTTGTGTTAATGGATTCAGTTTTATTTTGTTGATAAAGTACATGAATAATTGTCTACTTTAAGGTACAATTAATATTGGCTATGAGCATTTGTGCTTGGTTTTATATTAACTTCAGGTTGAAGCCAATGTTAATTTAACATAGCAAAACATGAATTCCTGAATTTACTAGACAGTTGGTACAGGGATCAATGAACCTACTGTAACAAAGATATTCTAAAACGACATTATTTTGTGATAAGAGTCAAAAGTAGAATGCCTGAGTTTTGACCATTGAAAGTGTCATTGTGGCTATTAAAACACTAGGCAGCTACATTTGCGAATAATTGTGGATGATTTACAAATTAAATTATTGGTTAACATAATTGGTAATAGTGTCTAACTTAACACAATTTACTTCAAATATAATTATTTGACCTAGGAAGCAAAAACTATCAGATACCTACTTATTATCTATGCAAATGTTACAAACAATAGTAGAATAAATTTAAGTAATAATTGGCTTAATACTGAACTCATATCAATTTTAAATTAATGATAATACTGTTAAAACATCTCTTGTAATAATAGAATTTTAATTTAATATAATCATTATGTCTTACCTTCTAGAAAAGTTTGACATAACTTTAGCAACTTCTGCGTTTTTGAAACTAAATTTTCAAATCCCATAAGGAACTCTATAGCATCGATTTGAGCTTCCTGTCCCTTTTTAAAAATAGAATGTAAAAGGGTACACAAAGTTAACAACCCATAAGCTACTCTTATATTTTGTTGGTCCAAAATCTCTATACACTGATTAAATAAAAGATTTATATTCTGTTTTGCTAGTTGAAGTTGTTCAGTAGAGAGTTTCTGAAGTTCATTCTCTAAGGTTGCAACTTTTGGTTTGAGTAGAAAAAATTCTTCCCAGAATAGAATATTTTGATGAGACACATCTTCACCTTTTAATAGGCATTCGTATATTTGTACAACTTTTTCTTTAAATTGCCTTTTTGAGCCAGAACCACTTCGTTTTCGCGTAGACATTGCTATAATTATTTTGTTTAAATCTTAAATATAAATTAAATTAAACTTATTCATTTTAAATACGGCACTGATAAAACTTTTGTTTTGAGGTTTGGTTGTTGACGTTTATCTTTTACATTGACGTGACAGCTGTTTTATATGAAGTTGTTGTTAATTCTAGTATAGGCAATTTTTAGATTAACTAATTGGTTATCATATGATGTAATTTTATCAAAGACACAGAATAAATAACCAGAAAATAATAAACAAGTCAGCCATGTTTTAAACGGAGCCAGTGCTTTTAAGTGAAATATTATCTGTTGTGCATAGAAAAATTAACCCGGTTTAATTTATTTACGGCAACCATAGACATAATAATATGCACTATTTTATTCGTACTTTTAGTTGAAGAATAGACTAAATTATTTCAAATTTACTAAATTGTTAATCTCTAAAAATTTAAATTACACTTCTGTCGTAGCTTGTCACACATTTTTCAATTCGAGTCTATGTTTCCGTTTAAAATATGGCGATCGCGTGCTGACAAACTTCAAACAAACGCGGCATCTAAGAATGGTCATTCTGATTGGTATTTATTCTGTGAAACAAAAATCAGAATGTCCATTCTCAGATGCCGCATTTGAAGTGTGTCAGCACGCGATCACCAAGTTTTAAACGGAAACAGATTCGGACTTCACTCCATGTATATTATTTACCTTCTTTCAACTTTGTTGATGGCTTGGAGATGTTGACAAATGCTTTGACAAAACGTCAGTAATATGTACATAGACCAAGGAAACTTATTTCGTAATTTCGTGTTTATCTCTTGGTAGTGGCCAATAATTGCTGCAAGTTTTTCAGGATTAGCTGTTACACCATTACTCGCTACAATATGTCCCCAGTAGTTCAATTTTCGTCGAAACATGTGGCATTTCTTTGGACTTAACTTCAATTTCTCTGCCCACAATCATTGAAAGACTTTGATCAGATCGTTGGCCTGTTCGTCGAAGGATCTTACCACCACAATTATCTAGCATCCAAATAAACCAGGCATTTTTTCCATGTTAGACCTCTTAAAACTCATCATCATCATTTGGCTCTACAACTCTATGTGAGTCGCTTGGCCGCGTTTACTATTTCCCTCCATTGTTGTCGGTCCTGAGCAGCTATTTTCCATTGCTGTATTCCCATTTTGCGTAGATCACTGGCTACTGCGTCCTTTCATCTCTTTCTTGGGCGACAACTGACCTTCTGCCATCGGGCCTTTCCCAGAATGTGACGTTCGGGAGTCTTTTATCACTCGATCTTAGCACGTCGCCCATCTTATTCGCTTTGCTTTAAGGTAGCGTACTATGTTTTCATCTCCATATATTGTCTGAAGTTCATCATTGTGTCTTCTTCTCCATATTCTCCTGTTGTCTCTTCTCTGCAAGGCCCATAGATAGTCCGCAGTATCTTTCTTTTCAGGACCAGTAATTTTGTTGTTTCCTGTTGGTTCAGAGTCCATGTCTCGCTTTCATACGTTATTATCTTATGCACTTGTCTTATTTTTGCTGGTATTGATATTATTTTTGATTTAAGTACGGTTATTAATGAGTAGTATGCCCTGTGTCCTGCAATGATCCTGGTTGCCAGGTTCTTTTCATATTTATTTTCAGATATTATGATCGCTCCCAGATACTTGAATTCTTTGACGACTTCAAAGTTGTATTAATTGATTGTTACGTTTTGTCTAACCTTTGGCCTTGGGTTTTTCGTAACCACCATGTACTTGGTCTTGTCCTCGTTGACCTTGACCTCGTCAGACCAACTTCCTTGGCTCCGTTTTCGAATAGGGTGAAAATTTCTTTTGCATCTCACACCTCTTAAAACTGCCTTCATTAATCTTCCAAATGTGGCAGGGGCATTATATAAAACAAACGGCATAACCGTGAACTGCCAAAGCCCTGATCCTATCTAGAATTCAGTTTTTTAACGATCAGCTGGCTCCATGTCTACTTGAGAATATCCACTTTTTAGATCGAGTGTGGAGAATCAACGAGAACCAGAGAAAGTATTTAATGTATCGTCTATTCTGGGCAAAGGATAACTATCTTTCTTAGTTACCGCATTGAGCTGGCGATAGTCAATACAAAAACGCGTTGAACCATCTTTCTTCTTTACTAGAACTACTGGTGATGTCTATGGACTGTTTGATGGTTTGATTGCCCCTTGTTTGTTCATATCTTTGATGATGTCTTTGGCGTAATCTCTTTTCGCAAATTGAAGTCGTCTAGGTTGTTGCCTGATTGGCTGAGCGTCTCCGGTATTAATTTTATGCGTTGCTATGCTTGTTTGCCCTTATTATTCTTATAAAATATCTTAAAATTCTATCAGCATAGACTTAATTTTTTTAGTTCGTTCATTATCAATTAACCGTGGCCAACACTTTTGTAAAGGACCTAGTAGAAGCTAAAGACTGCTTAACTTCGGGTATCAGGCAACACCCAGGTTTTATCAGCATTCTCTAGGCATGCGTGGCTCTGTCAAAAATGCACATCAATTTCCTAGTTTCTCGTTTAAAAAACATAGACCATGAAGATTAGCAAGGGTCGAAAAATTTATATATATCTTAATGGTCGCAGTGAGAAAAGTCTTTGAGGTCAGACGACCGCTTTTTCTATAATTTACTAATGTATTAACTATAGGTAGTTTTTCAATATGTTTTTTTTTTCATGTCTCCGGCAAATATTCGAACTCAATAAAATTTTTACAACATTTATCGAGAACACACACTTTCATATTATTTGATATTACTAATTTCGTTATGTAATAAATTAAATACGATCGATAAAATGAAGCAGCAGGGAAAGTGGACAATAAATATGAATCTCATTAATTCATTTGCACGATTCGGTTTCTAAGATATAAAAAACTTCTTGTCTATCTAAATAGTAAAAATATCATAGGCTGACATTGTTAAAGAATACGTGGTTAATCACAAAGATGGATATTATTTTATCTACAGATTATATAGCAAAACATTAATTTTTTTTAAGAAAATTCCCAAAAAATGAGTTTTTAGATCCCTCAAAAAGTCGTAGTAGTTTTTTAGAAAAAAAAAAATCCTAAAAATCACTAATTAGTCATTTTTTAACAAATTGCAAATAACTCGAAAAGAAAACATTTTTCTTAAAACTGCCAAGAAAGAAAATTATTTACTTTAATGATAAACAGCTAAAAAAATTTTAGTCGAAGCCATTCGGGAAATTGTGTTTTATTTTAGATATTACGAAGTTATTCGTTAATAACAATTTCCAGCCCACTTGGAAAAATAAAAAAAAAAATACATTGAACTTGAAAAAATATATAGAATCGAATAAAAAAGGTTTGGTGTTGGTGCAGTACAAATGCAAAAAAGTTTAGTCAGTATGTTCCGATTCGAAGTGTCTTTTTAGGGGTAAACCCCTCGTCTATTTGAATTACGGAAAAACATATTTGACGAATTTCTCGTCAGATACAATTTTATTCATCATTACCTCAAGCATATACAAGTCTTTGCTTTGCTTTTTATCTTTCCCTTTATATCAATAAAATTATTATTAAATAAAAGAACTAGTGAAATATTGTGGAACAGCAGAACAGAATAATTAACACATTAATTAATAAAATTATAAAATCCAATAAAATACTGGAAGAATGGAGAACGGGCAAACTAATTCTACTATTCAAATAAGGAGATAAAAAACAGCCAGAAAATTAAAGAGGTGTAAACTCAGAAGATAAGTTTAGCAGATGAACAACAAGGTTTTCGTAGTGGAAGATCGTGTACAGATGCAATATTCGGTATAAAGCAAATTACTGAGAAATCACTAGAGTGTAATAATAGACCAGTCTTTCAATGTCTGATTGACTTAAAGAAAGCATTTGACAGAGTAAGACTCAAATATGTAATCCATCTTCTGTATAATAGAGATGTTCCCCTAAATATTATAAAAACTATCGAAAACATCTACCAAAATAACAAAATGGAAGTTAGTATAGATGGACAACTTACAGAACCTATAGAAATAAGCAGCGGAATAAGACAGAGGGATTCATTGAGCCCTATGATGCTGTTCAATTTAATCATGGATTAGGAAGGGGATACAGAATCGGAAATAAAGAAATAAAATATTCTGTTACACATACGGCGCAATATTGATAGCCCCATATGAAAATAGTCTGCAAAGACTGGTCCACAGATTTAACATGAGAGTAATAGAATTTAATATGACAATCTCATGTCAGAAAACTAAAACAATACTTAGTAATCAGCAAAGAACCAACCAGATGTAAAATAGACATTGATGGCATCAGTATTGAACAAGTAATGGAAATAAAATACCTTGGAATTACACTGTCTAGCTATGGAGACCTTGAAAAAAGAAGTGAGAGATTAAGTACAAAACGCAAATAGACTGACATGATGTCTTAATAATACTATATGGCGAAACAAATACATTAACACTGATATGGTCAAGAATGTATAATCCAGCATAAGGGCTACTGGAAATGGCAGAGATGATAGTTCTGAGAAGAATTACAGGAACTACTCTGAGAGATCGAAAGAGAAGTCAAGACATTAGAGGAAGATGTAACGTGTATAAATGAATGGATACAAAATATAAAAAAAAAGAATGGAATCACCACATAATCAGAATGGGGGAGACCCGTGTCGTCAAAATAGCAAAAGATGGAATGACAACCTTCGATAGAGGTATTAATCTGTCAATGAACAATCAGAATTGCTTATAAAGAGGAAGAAGAAATTATTATTACTACATTTTGATCGTTTTATACATCCAAGATATTTATTTTGTTGTGTACTTTTTTCTGTTTTACTGTTCGAATCTTTGTTCTGATTTCTTTCTGTGAGGCCTTGTATTTCTTTATCTTTTATTATTGTATAATATCATTTTATCCATTAGTTGCGCTAATGGTCTGCTGCCCTTTCGTTGAGCATAATCCGATTAAATTAAGTTTTTATGAGTTTCTCTTTTTCTAATCTTAAGTCATTTTAAGTCTCATCATTTTCTCGACCGGTAAAATTACAAATTTTTATTAAAGTGTTCCCCTTATAACGTCTTTCGCGTTTTTTTTTTCA